AAAAAAATTTACGTATGTACATACATATACACTATATACGTCATACATTGACCGACATACTATCCATACATACATATATGTATGTATGTACGGCATACGGCTTGTTAAAAAAAACGAAAATCATTATACGTAGTATATGAAAGTTGGGGTAGTATTGACCCGATATTATCTGTTACTAAAGAATTCGGCCACGCGTTGCTGTGGTATACATTTTGTACTATTATTCATATAATAAACTATTCAATACAATAAAATTTACAAATAAAGGCGAAAACGTGTTTACTGTCCAGTTAATAGAGTTGTCCGTTGAATAGAACGTCCATTTAATAGAACTTTCTTTGCATTTTTTATTTTTGAATTATTTTTACTATCCTATCTTCTAAGTTGGTCCGAACTCCACACAGTGTGCTAAATTTTACCAAAATTAGTTCAGTTTAGGCGTTTAGGAGTCCATCGCGGACAAACAACGTGACAAGTGCTTTTTATATATAAAGATGAGTAAAACATGCTGCCTCATTTTCAGTGATATGACTCACATATTGGCCAAATATACTATGCGGTACAAAATCAGTTCGATTATTTTTGTATTAGATATATGGGGGCTAAGAGAAGTATGGGCCTGATTCAATCCATTTTCGACATACAGACAAACTATTAATAGGAAAAGGTTATCCCTGAATATTAATTACAGATATAGTTCACACGTCGTCGGAAAGGATGAAAACACTCCAGCTCTAAAAGCATTCGACGCAGTACGAACAGGGAGAAGCAAACTCCGTTTTAAAGATCAGGTGGAGAAAGACCTGGCTACACTTGAAATCTCCAATTGGCGCCAAACACCGGAAAGAAAAAGCGACTGGCATGCTGTTGTAGACTCGGCTATAACCGCGGTACATACGCCAATAAAGAAGATGAAGGCCCTTAACCCTTGAAAAACGCGAAATTATAGTGTTTGACTACACCCGAACTTAGCTCGTCCTTACTTGTTTAAGTTTTTGTTAATGTGTTCGTTAATTATGAATACATACATTATGTGGTTCCGTGATATAGTAGGGTCATTAAGTATGTAAAATTAAGTACTTGTAGGTAAATAAATATGTACATATCTGTTTATATGGCAAAACCAAACTGAAATTATGTTTATAGTATACACTAGATACAAAACAGATTAGACCGTGGCAGTCACGATAATATCGAATCAATTTCATTGAAGTAAAACTATTTGCATACGTACATATGTATTTGGGATCTCCATAGAGTAGCTGCTCACTACCCCTATGCTGTTAAATGTATAACACAAACAACAAACAAAACAAAATTATTATTCTCAGAAACTTTTTTATTTTTATTGAAAAAGTTCCAAATTTCAAATCACTATATTTAATCGTCTAATTGAGATAATCAAACTTTGTCGCAGAAATTTTAAAATTTTGACAAGTGAACTTTCAGAATATGTGGGGGTTATTTTTGAGAAACGAAAATTAGTTGGTGAAATTTTAGTTTGAATGAAAGAAGGAAAATTCCTATGTAAAATGTATGGGCACCTAAAAAAAAAATAGCGACCCCTTAGAGTTACGCTACAGCGCCTGGCTTGAGGAAGAATTTTTTGTTTGTCAATCACTAACATTTGAGGGGGTAACAGTTGATAAAAAAAATTCTAAAAAAGTTTTTGAAGCACCCTAATGTGGGTACTTTGTATATATTCACTCGCAAGTACACAAGTATGCACTCGCTCATTATTGCACTGTTATCAGAAGAGTAACGTCAACAGAGGAATATAAAACACGCGCACATACGGTTGTCAACAGCACCGTTACAGTATGCTAAATCACTCAACTATCATTTTATCATTATCAGTTGTTTTTAAATAATAATAAATTATTAGTGCTTATGTACTCACCAAATCGGCACCACACGTCCGCCGGCGCCCTCAATAAATTTCACGTACGAAGCGGCAATGTAACTGTTGTAATCCTTGTCGGGATAATGGCGGCGCACGAAATTCGACACTTCCTGTGTCAGGATACCGACAATGGGACGAGTATTCTCCGCATTGACATTTACCGTTACGTCATCGTTAATATCGAAATACCTGCCAGCAAACTGAGGACTGCCGCTGCGTGCCACAGATCCATTACTCACGGATAAAATCGATAGAGCAGCCAAAACTGTTGTCACAGTGACGCTGGACGACGAAGTGGCGTCGCTAAAGATCGTACTTATACGCATTGCTGTGCTGACAAGGGCGTCAAACGGTAAATGATGAATGTGTAACAGCTATGCGTGAGTGTATGTGAGTTGTATGAGCGTGAAATTTTCAGTTTTTAATCACGTTTCTGCACTTGCGAAAACGGCTTCTGCGGGAGCGCACCTCCAACGCTCGACTGTGACAGTGAGTAGCGGATTTTTGAATATTTACAGGTAAGCAGCTTGGAGTAGCGCGCTACATACATACATGTGTATGAATGTATGCGCTGTGCGTGTGTAGGTTGGTGTGGCGGTGCAGCGACGAAGCGGCTGCGCTAAGCACTTGAATTCATAAACACTTTCAGCGCGCTGTGCCATACATGCCAATCAAGTTTTAATTTTTAATTGGGCGCAATGTTTTGATTAACGAATTTTGCGCGCTGTCTAATGCATGTACACACATACATACATATGTAGGTGTGAAAGTGGGTGGCTGTGTGCGTGTCTGGCTAACGGAGAAGAGCAAAAAATATTAAACTGATATAAACAATCAAAATCAAATCAGGGAAATTATATCGTTGGTGTTGAATGAAGTGTTTGTCTTGTACGCATATATTTACATATGTTTGTATGTATGTGTGACTTGAAGTAGCAGATAGCAGGTATGGAGGGAAATATAAAACATAAATTACAGTTATAATAAACACATTACTGCTTGTTTATTTGCTATCAGAAATTTTTCACGGCGTTTAACACTTTCTTAGATATATGTATGTACATATGTACTAACTTTGTAAATAAATAATAAGTATGTATGTTTGTATATAACACTCACCAATTTATGTTGAAATTTTATTATGTAAATATAATGACAAAAATTATTTGTAATATTTTCGTTTTTATTTTTTGAACAATAATTTCACAATTTCAACCAATACAAAAAAAAATCAAATAACTAAATTAATACATCAGATAATACAAAAGTTGATATATTTAATCAAACAAACTTCGCGCAGCCAACTGCATTATATACTAAAGAACCTGTTATTAAATTATGCTTAGTTCACCGTGCCGGCAAACGGGGAAGTACATGCACTGAAACGCCTTTTACAAAGTTTTACTTTTATAGCAAGAACTAAAGGTAATATTAAAAGGAAAGTATATCATTTGTACATTGTGGAGCCTGTTTAATTTGCTAAATATCTGGTTGAGTTCCGCCTTATACTCGTCATATTGCCCACGTAGCTGCAACGAGTTTGAAGATGACTCTGAATGGCTATGCACATGTGTACACAGAAAGTATTATTCAACCAGAGACGATCTTTATTACATTTTTCTCGGCATTATAAAAATAATTCATAAAACGATTTTTTAACAATTTTGGTTATTTACAACGTTAAAATGCTTTCAAAGGAATGTACAGAACTTTAACTGCTTTTGCTAAGGAAAATCTTCTAACCAAATCTATCAGCCGTTCGCAAGCCACTCAAAAACTTGTCAAAGAAATTTGATAAGCAGCTAAAAAAATCAAAGCTGTATATACATATATCGAAAACATTTCAAGTATCTGTTTGGTATTTCCGAACACACGTGATTTAAATGTTCGTACATAAATGTAACTTGACTTGCAAAGTAAAATACGATTGATTTACAAACCTGTGTGCTTTTGAAGACAAGTGTAGTTTTATATAAACTTAAATATTATTGTATGAGATATATGGAAGCCAAATGCAACAAATCTTATCTAACGAACACACAACAGTACGTGACAATATAATAAAATGTGTAATAAACATTAATACATAATTTTTAAGACTAATTAAGTAAGTTATATATCATTTAAAATACACAATTTGCTGCTTAAAAACACCGACAATCATTTTTACAAGTCAGAATGAATCGAAGTGAAATTTGTTATATACTTTACGTCTTCGATATTTCCTTCTGGCGGCTACAAACGTCGTGGTAATTGCTTGCTATACTCTTTTCAGCGTATTCAGCGCTACAAAAACAACTATGCTAAAAGTCATGTTGTACTTCCTATACAAAAATCACATTCATTAACTGACAGGAAACACATCAAACACTTAAAATGGCGGAAGCGGCATATCCAAATTATCCAACACTCCCTAAATGTAAAAGTACATACAAACATATATACATATGTATATATGTAGTCACATTAGTATATCGTGAAATGTTTTATATTTGGCACTAACAAAGTACGTTTATATATTCAATGACATTATTAATATAATAAATACTTTAATAGAATTACGTTTTTGTAAATATGCGAAGATTGGATTTTCACAAACTGGCAACTCTAGTAAGGTTATTATAACCTTGTTATTGAATTTTTATGTTAGAAAATACAATACTCTTGTGTGAGATCAGTAAGAATATTTCTTATACTCCGAATTGATACGCGCCGCGTTCATAGAATGCTCCGAAATCATATACAAAATATTTTTACACATACGAAATTATTTTTCAGGAGTACGAAACACTTTTAAGCGATATAAAATAAGTCTCATCAGTATCTCTGTTGTGCTGCTAAACTGATTTAAACAGCTGATGGCCGCCTTATAATTGTTTTTGTTTTTTTCCCTTTCTTTACGTTTTCTATCTCTACAGCTTATATGCTTACCTTGTGCACATGTATTCACTTATACCCGCAAACTGCACAATAATGCAAAATATTAAAAGCAGATTTGTTGATAACAATATTTAACGGCATATTAAATTAACACAACTTCAGAGATAAGACAACAAGTTCCAACTCAGCAGAAAGGCATATATTAAAAACACGTTAATTTTAATTAGATATGATATTTATGTATTAGTTACCAATTAATCATCCAAACAGCTAATCGGATTTATTTCAAAGAACACCGTTAGATTGGTGATCTGCTGAAAGCTCAACCACCCATCATATTTTGCAGTTTATTCTTGATACTCTTCTGCACACTTTGTAAATACTTCATTTTGACTAGTAAAGACTTTGCCTCAGACAACGCTTTTGACTCAAAGCTGATGCTTAACTCTTTCACAGCTACGTTTAGTTGTTGCACAATGTCCTCATTTAGGCGCTGCAAATCTTCACTGGACTTCGTGTCAGCCACTTCCTCGTTGAGCTCCATCATTTCCATAAGAAATTCCTTATTCAAAGCGCTATTATCCTGCGGCATTTGCTCTCCTTGCAACTTTAATAAATACTGACCACGCTCTATTGGAGCAGACAGTGTTTTGTAGGCTCTATTTATGAGGGCACTCCACTCTGCAGAGTTATTCTGCTCCCGCTCTGTTCTATAGCAAACAAAACAAACAACAATGTACCTTAGATTATCGAAAGTATAGTAAATATACACACTTGTTGCTGAATTTGTCAGGATGTACCAATGTTTGTAGTTGCCTGAATCGTCGTGTTAGCTCTTGCGGTTCCAACGAAAACTTATTTGATAAATTAAGTAAATGAAAGTAGTTCTGAAAAATTACAATTAAAAAATTATATACTGAGTATCAATATACATATATCGGATTTGTTATTACAATTTCCATATCTACATCTTGTAAGAAGCCACATGATAAGCATAACATATGATTTTTACGTCCTTTCTGGTTACAATTCCAACATGCGCTTTCAGTCATGGAGCTGGTTGTTGGCGCATATTTACGTACTTGCAGTGAAGAGGTCCTTAATGTGCTAGATTTTGCGGATCTAATAATAGCTTCCTTCTGCTCTTCTGTAGACTTAGGAACAACACAAAAGTTAGCTAAGCTGGGTAGACGGGTGCAATTCATATTGGTGTTCAACTCCAAACGAATAGTATGCAAACATCTCGTAAAACGCCGCATTATAGTATGGTGCAGTAAAGCTATTAATTGTGAACTTCTTTTCTTTTTCCGAAGTTATTCATAACATACAGTCACTAAAGGAAGGTTCTTATCTAATTCTCGTAATTTTTTATCTAATAATAAAGAATATGGAATCAAAACAAATTAAATGACATTCAGTCATTTATCTGTGTTGCCACCCCGAACTAAACTCAATCGAGCAGCTTTCAAATACCCCTCAGGAAATGTAAAGCCATCTCGACTTAAGTCATCACATTATTCGCCAGCGCATTTGTGTAAATACTTTTCGACCATTTTCGTCTGTGTTAAGTTGAAGTGAAAAAATAACATAGGTTGTAAACACATTTTACATTTTTCTGCGCTGTATGTTATTTGTTTCATTAACTGAAATCTCTGATATGGCACTTGGGATATTATTAACCGAAAGTTGGCTTTTCACTTCGCTTCTAATTAAACAATATAATGTATTCGATTTGCCATTCTCAAATGTTAAGTGATTCGAAGGCAGGTGTGTTATATATACACTGTTTTAAAATGTAGTCTTTAACTAAAAACGGTTGTGATCGTGTTCCAATTAGAATGTTTTGAGCGGACGTTAATCTCATTTTTATCCCATTTTATTTAAACAGAAAAGCATATAAATGCGTAGTCTAACACAATTTCTTATAACGAATATCTTTTCACAGTCTGGCTACTTTATTCGGTATTTACGTTTTAAAACGTCGTACGGTAACATGAATTCCTCAATTCCCATTTTTATTTTGCATAAATACAAATTCTCTAGTTTGCAAGGAAAGGCATGTATATTATTTCACATTAAGATTTTTTTTACATTATTAAACGTAGTAAGTGTAGCTTAATCTTGGCTTATTCAGTTTACATAGTGTTCAGAAACTTATTCGGTTATGTCCAACGAAGTTCGATTAAGTAAACGCCTCTCTTGGCTCTTGCGTCATGGAGCAGTGCAGGAAGGAATTCCCTTACGTTCAGACGGATTTGTGTCTGTCAACTCCATTTTGGAACATCCAAAACTTTCTGGAGACTTTAATTTAAAAATACTGCAAGAGTTTACAAAAAAGGACCAGAAGAACCGCTATACGCTGAAACAAAATATTGACGGCTCTTGGATGATACGTGCTAATCAAGGTCACTCATTGGACAATGTAATAGGATCGCATTGTTTTCAGCGCATTTATAGCTGCGATGAAGTTGATATAGCGGTACATGGCACATACTACCGTTATTGGGAACGAATACTCTTAGAAGGGCTTCGCACTATGAAACGTACATATGTGCACTTTGCCGTGTACGACGACAACCACAAATATAATGAAAAGAATAATGCAGTAAGTGGTTTTCGTAATAATTGCGAGCTGCTGATATATTTAGATGTCCGAAAAGCTATGGAACACGGCGGAATGGAAATTTATCGCTCCGCAAACAATGTTATATTATGTGCGGGAATTAACGGTTGCATACCTAAGGATTACTTTCAAAAAGTTGTAGACCGACGCACTAAAAAGACTTTGTCGTTTTAGTTTCTTGTTCAACTTTGGTTTTATAGATCGTAATACACTATTTATAGTAATTTTTGCCAAAAAAAAAATAACTCCGAACATCGATATTGTTTTATTCGACTTTACAGATGAGTAATTCACCGACTAAAACAGCTATCACCGAATCCATTAATACAAATTCTAATGATAACGATGATGCCACTAAAAAATCTGATTTTAAATGTACCCTATGTCCTCAAAAATTCAGTAATATCCATGAATGTTTGAAGCACGAACTTTTGCAGCATGATATTAAAAGAACAAAGCGACCTCAAAAGACATTACGCACCAAAGTCACCGCTATCCTTGCAAAAAGCAGGACAGATGAACAACAATCACTAAAAAAAGAATTACTAAATGGTCTTCATAACTGCGAACCAGGTCAAGAACTTCGCAGTATTTTTAAACATCACAGAATGAATGACGGAAACTTAATTTTGGTTTATGAACGCATCGAAACATGTCTAGAGAAGGAACTACAGCCGCTAAGAGGGCTAAAAGTACATCCTTTCGGTTCCATTGCAACTGGCTTAGCTTTGAGAGGTAAATGTGCAAAACAATACAATTTTATTTAGATATTTAATTTTATTTATAATTTTAAATGCTTCTCATTTCCAGACAGTGACATCGATTTGTATATTGAGCATGCCAATGGTTTTCAAACAACAGTAAATTTAACTCACCGGACATTCAATCGTATCAATAATATTTTACAACGTAGCAACTGCTTCAGTGAAGTTATTCCGATTCGACAAGCCCGTGTACCGATTATCAAATGTAAGCACAATCCCACTGGATTCAGTTTGGACATAAATTTATCTTGCCCCAGTAGTGTGAGCAACACGAAATTCGTGCACGACCTGCTGCAATTCGACAACAGAATTCATGAGTTAATTACGTTCCTTAAAATATGGGCTAAGCAGTTACAATTAATTGGTCGAGGGAATATGACCAGCTATTGCCTTATTACACTGGTTTTATTTTATTTACAACAACCACAGTCGAATCAACGGGCAGTGCTGCCATCAGTTAAGGATCTCCAAGCGAATATTCCTGACAATTTGATAATGGGTGTGAATTATGCGTACCAACTTCAAGAAAGAATATCTCCTTTACCACGAGATTTGACAACTGCAAGACTAATTGAAGGCTTTTACAAGTTTTATAGCAGCTTTGAGTTTGAAAATTTCCTTATATCACCATTTTTGGGGATAGCGATACCACTTATTGACTTTAAAAAGGGTCTCTTCAGTTTTCCAGCCTATAATAATCAGTTGCGCGCTGTGGCCATCGTGAATAACGAACCTTTGCAACCGATTCAGGTCAGCGAGAATATATTAAAAAGTAGTATTCACTAAATCTTTTATTAAAAGAAAATATAGTCAAAAATAAATACGTATACAAATTATATATTTATAAAATTTTCGTTTTTAGGTTGATCGTTGCGTTTGTATACAAGATGCTTTTGCTCTAAGTCATAATGTTGGCAAGTCTATATCTCAACTAAATTTGGAGTATTTTCGAAAATGCCTAAGCCTTGCTTGTGATGTATACGAAGATGTAGACATTTCAACAGATGCTCAACGGTATGAGGCACTACTTTATAGAATTATTGATCGTTTGGCTCAATCGGTGAATATAAACGTCCCTTTCTCAAGCCAAAAAGCAGACAAACCTTCGCCAGCAGATGCTTCCAATAATAGTACCGGCACCGTACGCAGTAATAATAACCCTAACAAATTGAGTTATCGTTTCGCACCCTCGCGTTCGGAATTACGAACAATCGTAGCGCTCAATGAAGAAGATAATTCGAAGACCATATACAAATTATGGGCTAAGTATTATTTAGAAGCCATTACCGAAATCATTACAGAAATCTTTTGCTTGGACATGCAGTCTGCCACACCCACCCAATATGACAAACAACAGCGGTTGGATGAATATACTGGCTCTCACACTTGGCTTTTAAGTGGCTCAGTTGATCAGTGGTCGGGTCGTATGCATCAGCGTTGCCATGATAAAACGTTTATGGAACTGCAGTTGGAGCAAACCAAAAAATTTACTTCAGAAAGACGACAAAACGCCGCATTTGCTGTACAATTAAATGCCATATTAACTGTAAACATATTAAACAATTGCACTGCCATTGAAGTGGTAGTGACACCGCGAGTCACAAAAGGCCACGCCCTAATAAAGAATGATCCTCTGAGGAAGTTCTTCGCTAGTTTTAGGGCGAGCATGCAAAACTTTAACCTAAAGGAAAAACTTAATACAAATGCATCAAATAAATCTATTGAATGAATTTGTATCTTTTATTGACAGGATCCAAATATTTAAGTATTTATGTACAATATTTTTATTTTTGAAACTGACCTATATAAATTTTGATGAATAAAGTTGTATTTTATAATTAATCGGAGCAATTAAAAGTTAAATTATATTTTACTCCTAGCATGTCATTCACAAAGACGGAGTAAGTTCCTGAACGGTCCCGGATTTTTAGCCGGAATTAAAAATTTCTTCAGGAATGTTATCAGCCGCTACAACAAAAACAACAGGAAGTTAGTGAGGGCTCCTTTGTGAATGGCGATCATTGCGTGTCTGAAGATAATTGCGTTCGAAGTCTGATCGACGTACCGTGCATTGTCGTCCACGTAATCAAGGAAGAACCTATTGATGCACCTAGAAGGCGGCTCGCTTCAAGCAGATGACTGCAATGCTGGTTTCTGCGAGAACATACCAGCAGAAACTGCTTGGAGAGCAGCTTGTTATGTTCCTTAACAGTAAGCAAGGTCCGCATTCTTGCTGTGAAGTTTTTAACCACAAACACCAAGAGGCATCTTGAGATAGTCCAGTGTGCAGTATTCTGACACGTCTGAAGCTTCTTTGTTTACGTTCCACCACATTCAGGTGATCATCCTGTGCAGTGTAGCTTATGACCGGCCGGCTTCTTGCCTTATATTTTGGCAACAACATTTCTCTGTCTTTTCCCCATGAGCTACCGGATAGCAAGTTGAGGATTTTGTTGCGATTCTGTACTTTCGCAGTTATCGCGGTCGTATGCGGAGCGCACAGGTAGTCGACTGTAACACCTAGAGTATTAGGATTATTCGAAGTCGGAGTTGAGTAGCTTTCTACACATTTTTATTGTCCACATATATTTTCCAAGTTTTTCTTTAAATAAATTCGTTTGGTATTGTCGTGCCTAGGATTTCCAAATGTTCTACTATGATGTTATATGGAGTGGAATGAACGCCAGAATCATTTCCATCACGACTTTTATCTAATCCACCATAGTCCTTAGCCGTATTTGTTTGTCTCAATGAGTGTAATCTCGATTGGCGAACTGACAACGGATGCCAATGTTCGTTAGCAACTCTAAAAACACATCCACAACTAGGTTCTATTCACCGAATTCTCACAATGGTGACCGTCTACGCCATTCTTTAACATTTCGGTCTGCAGGTCTTATACTATTTGAATTAATTGATCCGCCACAATCTCAAACGTAAATTGCGTTTTCAACAGAGCTCTAATGCCTTCTATGCTGTTTCTGAGGGTGTCATCCCTTCTTCAGCATTTCTTAATTCCGTACTGTATATTGTACAGTTAACGCTGTAACCTTTCCTCACAGCAGTATGCTGTGCTTTGAAAAATAACATTGCCAGCACTTTGACTTGCTAAGTGCCGAAAATGTGTTCGGCCACCAAGATTTCTTGTTTAAACTTCTGTACTGCGTTAGTTCAGAGAAGTCCTTGTACTTAGGCCAATATATTGTACAGAGTATAACAGTAAGCGTATTCACCTAACGCATATTAGTAACAGATATTTATATATGTACATAATTTCGCAGATGAAAGCAAGCTCGATAACTTGTGTTCAAATTTAGATATCTTGATCAATCACTGCAAACGTTTCCTTTGGTACTGAGTTGAATGGACAAATTCGGCACATTGCTAGCCAGCAAAGTTGTGGTAATCAAGGAGAAGAATATGAGAAACGGTCACGTTCGATCAATCTTGGCGATGTCCTTTTCAGAATCCACAGATAACCAGTCCGGATATGTGTCGTGGGGTCTGGCAACACAAATCGCCTATAAAATGTTGTAAACTGCACCGAGTAGTTCTTATCATGATCAGGCTAATAATGAGAAATAAAATTGTAGGTTCTGGGAATTCCATTTTGCTTTCTAATATTACGGTTTTACACTTCAAAGCCTCCTATAAATTTACCCATGTATGGGCCATGAAATGGGCCACTGTTTCTATAGAGTCGCACAGTGAAATGTTAGGCTGAACAAACTCCTACATCTCAAGAAACTTCAGGTAGAGCAACCTTCAGGTTTTCAGTTCCAATTAAGTTTCCAATAAGCTCCAGCATGGCCCGCTTGACACTTAACCTAGTCGCCTGCCATAAAATGAAGCATATAAAGTAAAAGATCTATTCATTTATTTAAACCTTTTTTCTTCTTTTCAAGGATAAGATTTGAGGCGTTTAAGAGTGTACAGAAATTACTTTTGCTCGCAGATACCACATGCGTTCGCAGAATTTTGTTTTATTACCTGAACTTAAGACTCTGGTATTCGAGCGATGAAATTTCCAAGAATTATTTATGTTTATTAATCCCTACTCGCAGAAATATCTAATATTTAAAGTTAAGCTACTAAAATATGGTATCATTCACATTTATTATCTAAAGTAGATTGAAATACAGACGAAACTCTCTATAACGAACTCCAATGGACTGGATATCTCAAAAAATTTACTGGATATCATTCACATTTATTATCTAAAGTAGATTGAAATACAGACGAAACTCTCTATAACGAACTCCAATGGACTGGATATCTCAAAAAATTTACTGGATATCATTCACATTTATTATCTAAAGTAGATTGAAATACAGACGAACTCTCTATAACGAATTCCAAGGGACTGGATATTTATTTCGCTGTAAAGAAAATTCGCTATATGGAGATTATAAATGTACACTCAAAGTAAACCTAAAACACAGTGTTCTTATAATTGCTTCACAATAATGAAAACTTCGTTATATAGGAGTTCGTTTTAGAGAGTTACGACTGTATATTGATTAAAACTTAAAAATGAATAGCGAAATTGCAAATCTTTAGCCTTAAATCCAAATAACAGTAGATTATTTAAGAAAGAACAGGCAAGACCAAAATGACCTTCGCAATGTCACTTTTATTAAAAAAAAATGGGTTTCCTTTTAAACTATTGAGAATAATAAAATGTATGTATACCCCTTACTTGATCATTATCGATTTCTTGAAAACTGTCAATTATACATTCTGACAAAAATAAAAACTCCCGGAAATTGTAGTTAAATTCTCCGGGTAAATGATATTTCAAAAAATTTATTTTCCTAAATTGGAAAGACATTTCTTTAATTGTTAACTATGGTAGAAAACATTCAAAGGCGGTTGAGAGATCGTTGAAGACAATCCGCTTTCTGGACGACCATCCACCTCTTCAAGTAATGAAAATATTAAAAAAGTGAAGAATAAGGTGCTTGAAAATTGTCAGGCAAGTTTTAGAGAGATGACAAGAGAGTTCGACATCTCTTGTGAGTCCGTTTGAATGATTTTGGAGGATATTTTGGGTATGTAACGCAACTAGTCCCGATAAAGTTGAAATTTTTCAGAAAGAGTTCCGACACCACCTTCAAGAGAGCATAATAACTGCCGATGATAAAAAACCAGAGCGACAGTCGGTCAATAAGGAGTTCTATTTGGCCGTATTGAGGCGTTTGCGTTCTCACTCTTTCGAAAGCGGGCGAAATTGTGGAAGAACAATTCATAGATTTTACATAATGATAATTCAAAATCGCATCGTGCCACAATTGTGAACGAATTTAAAGCCAAAAACGCAATAATACCATCGATTAACCACCATATTCATCAGATTTGGATCCGTGTGATTTTTTCTTGTTCTCCAAACTGAAATTGCCACTCCGTGGAACCCGTTTTCAATCGTTGAAGGGCATTACAAAAAATGTTTCGAGAACTACTTTAAAGGCAACAAAATAAATATTTATGAAAATTAAATATTTTCCGTTTTGTTTACAATTTCGAGGAACTTTTTTATCACAATGTATATACTTATACATGCAATCAATAAAATGAAGCTTTAAGATTTGAATATTATCTTAGCGTAAGGTTAATATTGAGTTAATATTGAATTACGTTAAATTAATGAAAATGTCAAGGATAAAGATTCTCTTAGAACTTAATACGTTTTTCCGTAACGTAACCTCACTTATTAAATTCAGTGTGTAAGTATTTTTTGAAATCTATAAATTAAAGTGAAAAACTTGCGAATTTGTAATGAAAATGAAAAGAATTGAGTATGTAAACCTTTTCCGAAAATAAGTAATATTGTTACTACACAAAGGAAACCTAAATTACACCAGACATTTACCCAACCATTGAGGGCGGTCCACATTGTTTTGTGCTTTTTGTGGTCGAAGAGACCTTTTATCGTATAATACGGCATTGAGACGCGCTTGTGTCATTAAGAAAGTTATGAAATAGTTATAGGTACGGCATCTCAATTTTTAAAATTTTTGCTTAAATAGCAACGAATTCTGCGATTTGCAAACAGTCGGGAAGTGTTTGCGAATTAGTGCAAGTCGAGAACTTCTCCATACTATTAATATTTAAATCTCAGTATTGTCATTCTAAATAGCGTAAGGCAATTGATCAGTTATGACGGACGAAGTGCAATTAAGTAAACGGCTCTTGTGGGTGTTGCGCCATGGAGCTGTGCAGGAAGGAATACCTGTACGCTTCGACGGCTTTGTGCCTGTGACCGCCATTCTGAACCACTCAAAATTTGCTCGAGATTTTAATTTTAGTAAACTTCAAGAGATTGTAAGGAAAGATGAAAAGAAACGCTTTGCGTTGAGGCATAATAACAATGACTTTTGGGAGATACGTGCTAACGATGGTCACTCAATGGTCAATGTAGTAGGATCGCATCCTTTCCATACCTATTACAGCGTCAATCATTTAAATAAAGCAATATACAGCGCATACCTTCAATTTGAACGAATGTTTATGGAAGGATTTAATGCTATGATACGTTCACATGTGAACTTCGAGACGTATGACGATAACAGTAATTATTGTGAAGAGAAAAATGCGGTAAGTATATCAACTTAAATATTTGAAAAGTTGGAACAATACTGTTTTATGTGAATCCTAGGGTTGTGGTTTGAGTTACTAAGTGATTTATTAGTTAACTAATATATATTTTATTGTATTTATTCGAAAAAAATTAGTCGTTTTCAACTTTACAGATCAATCTACCGATTAAAACAGCTACAATCGAACACGTAAATACTGTGAATTCTAACGGAAACAAAGTCAAAATTAAAAAAATAGATTTTAAATGCACCATATGCTCTAAAAAATTCAGAAAGGACAAAGACTGTTTGAAACATGAGCGTTGGGAACATGACATTAAAAGATCAAAAAAGGGCTTAAACGATAAAGTTGAGGATATTATTGCCTATATAAAATCGAACGAACAACAATTATTGCAAAAGGAGTTACTAAATGCTCTACATAACTGTGAACCAGGGCAAGAGTTATGCAGTATTTTTAAACAACACAAAATGAATGACGAGACCTTAAGTTCGGTTTACAAGCGCATTGAAGCGTGCTTGAAAGATGAACTACGGCCGTTAAAAGGAGTAGAACTACATCCTTTCGGGTCCATAGCAAGTGGCTTAGCTTTAAGAGGTGAGGGCACAAAATATTAACGCAATTTTATTTATTTTAAATATTTTCCATTTCCAGACAGTGACATTGATTTGTATATTGAGCTTCTCGACAACGCCCAAACAACCGGGAATCCAACAAAGCAGGCATTTAATCGCATCAATATTATTTTACAACGCAGCAACTACTTCAGTGAAGTTATTCCGATACGACAAGCGCGTGTGCCGATTATAAAATGCAAGCACAGTCCCACTGGGTTTAGGCTGGACATAAATCTATCATGTTCCAGTGGTGTACACAATACCAAATTTGTGCGAGAACTTCTGCAATTCGACAACAGAATTCATGAGTTAATTATGTTCCTTAAAATATGGGCTAAGCAGTTACAATTGATTGGTCGAGGGAATATGACCAGCCACTGCCTTATTACATTGGTATTATTTTATTTACAACAACCACAATCGAAACAACTGCCTTTGCTGCCAGCAGTTAAAGATCTCCAAGAAAATGTTCCTGAAAATATGATAATGGGTGTGAATTATGCATATCAACTTCAAGAAAAAATATCTCAGATACCCCAGGAATTGAGCACATCAAAACTAATTGAAGGCTTTTTTAAGTATTATCGCTGCTTTGAATTCGAAAAAATACTTATATCACCATATTTGGGGAAAGCGCTACCCATTGATAAGTTTAAAAAAGGTCTATTTAAGTTTCCAGCTTATGATGCTCAGCAATGCGATGTGGTCGCCGTGAGAAACGAACCTGCACAACAGATTCAGGTCAGTAAGAATTTATTATAAAATAATACTCAATAACGCTTCCAAAAATAATCAAACCTAAACACTAAAATGTAGTACATATTATATACTTGTATTTATAAAATTTTCGTCTTTAGGTTGATCGTTGTGTTTGTGTACAGGATGCGTTTGTTCTAAGCCATAATGTTGGCAAAGCGATATCTCGTCTCCATTTGGAATATTTTCGAAAATGCCTGAACCTTGCTTGTGATGTATACGAAGATGTAGCGATTTCAACAGATGCTCAACGATATGAGGCACTACTTTATGGCATTTTTGAACGGGTAGCTAAATCGGTGAATATAAAATGCGATTTCCCAAGATAAATTCTGGACTAGTTGGGGCGAACCAGAAAATTTTAAATTAAGAATTTACATACATATTATATAACATATATGTATGTTAATAAATAAAGTTGAATTTTGTGTTTAGGCGGAAAAAAGTTTGTATTATCTATTAGAGATCTTTCCTTAATGAAAGGCCTGAGAAGATAATGGCCTGCAGTTAATATTCAAATAGGGGAAGTATTCTTAATATGTGTTTCATTCGATTGCAACGAAAATAACATTTTACACTTAATAAATTAAAGTAATAAAATTACCGAAATTTAAAAATACTCCTACTTTTGAAACCTGAAAAACGCTCTATGGCATGCTGTTGTATATGGTTCAATATTATTAATACCCACCAAAGTTGAAGATATTGAACAGATGAAAGAGGCAAAGATAATGAAATACTTGTACATCAAGCAAGGAAGGGCTAAGTTCTAGTTAAACCGAACATTTTATGCTCTTGAAACCAGCAAGAACCAAAGCCGGGCAAATACTTTCACGTGTTTTCAATATTAAAAGATGTAGCGAAAGGGTTTAACTTTATTGTTTGAGAAAATCTTGAATGGATTACATTCAAATTTGCACTTATTTTAAACGTACTTTCTTATATCTTAAATACGTCAGCGAAAATTCTTTTAAAATCATCCTCAAATGTGATATATGTGATTTAATCTCAACGGAGGGGCTAAATTTAATATATTGAATTATTATGAAAAACTTCAAGCAAAGAATCGATTGGAAGTGAAGTTATTGCGTTTTAAGGATCAGTATGTTTGTGTTATCGGTGCGAAAATGAACTTCGAACTAAGAGCCAACATTAAATTTAGTTTGACGACCAAAAATTGCTCAGAATCCAACGTTCGATCAACGCTTGTGACCGATTATTTGACAAAAATCGCATTCTAACCATTAACCACTCCCCGTATTTACCTGATATGGAGCCGTGAATGAAGAAATATTTATTTCTTGTTTTAACGCGATTTTGGTAGTATTATATATACGTTGTATGGAAAGAGGAAGGAGTTACAATCCATTTCATCTATTTTCACAAAAAGGGATGATAGGGGATTTTAAAGGATTAGTCCTAAGAAAATTTAATTATTGCAGCTTAAGTGTTTTAAGAGATATGTATGTACAATAAACATATTACAGGGCGGAGCTACGCTCATTCTTTCAAAAATTTTGCCTTTATACTGCAATCTCCTGTACCAACTGTTAGTTTAATATCTCAATTTACTTATACATAAATACATAACCCAATATCTAACTCGATTCCTTTTAGGTACAAAGAACCGTAAGTTGGAACACTTTTCAAGGTATCAAGCGAAATTAAAAATTTTGAGTACTTTCAATGCCTAGCAGTATTTTACTATCTTACCTGAGTTGAACACTGTGATATTCGAACAGTTAATTTTCCACAAATTATTATTGTTAATAATCTCTATCTCACTTCTAATCTAAATTACTAAACTAAATACCTGTAACACATAGGTATATTTTGTTTTCTTAAGCTCTGAAATGTGAATGTAATCTTAACGCATTGAATTGTCTTCATTGAAGTTTCGATATAAATAATAAAAGAACTTCAAATCATTACCCTAACAGCGTTTAAAGCAGGTAAATTTTTTAAAAAGAACAGGTATGAAATATTGAAATGACTTTTGCGATATTATTATACTCTCCCAACATGTTGCATAGTCCAAACAAACGATAACTTCCTTAAGAATTGATATATCTTAATGAAACTTGTGCACCTGATTCTTGACACTAAGGTAACGTTGGTATTGCAGATATACAAATTGGGATCATAGCCACGCCTACAAAACGTTGTCTTGTTATGCTGTAAATAAGTCACAATTTAAGATATAAAACTGTAATTTGATACAGGATTTTCAAAATAAGTTAATTAATACCAAATTTGTAATTCATTCACCTTTCGCCGAACAATGAAGTTGAGACAATCAAACAATTTTATATTCTTAATATAAAATTAATCCAGCATCTGAAGGTTTTTATCTGGCTTTGATTCTTGCATGTTACAACAGTATAAAATGTTCAGTTACACCCAAACTTTGCCCTTTCTTACTTGTTCTATTTGTTGCTAGTTCACTAAAAATATTATCGTTGACGTTTTTTCTTATTTCGAAGACTACATATATTGGACTAAATTTGAATGATGTTCTTGTCGTGTTGCTTTGGAATTATTGTTTATTTTTTTTTTCTTTTGGTCTCCTGTGGTGGACTGTGGGACGGCATTTCAAGCTCCTTAAGCACAGCTGCAAACGAAACCATTGTTTTTCGGAAAATGCAAAAGAACAGCTGGTACGACGAGGAGTCGCAGTGGAGAGAAAACAGACTGAACGAAAACATGCCAGCTCTGAAAGTATTCGACGTAGTACACGCCAGGGGAAGCAGAGGAAAAGGAAATCCTCCACTCCTTTCCAAAGACCAAATGAAGAGTGACCTTTCTAAATTTGGAATCTAAAATTGGCGCCATATTACGCCTATAACCGTGTAAGCCATGTCTACACCATTGAAGGAGAAGAATACTCACGTATGTTACTTGAATATCTTTAGGGTCTAAACCAGCAATTCCATCTGCGTTCCATCAGTAAAAAGCTTGTCGATTATAGAAAATATGAATTAATTTATTATCACCATAAGTTAAAGTATTGACTACAAATCACAGTATATTAGCATTTGTAAAAAGTTATACTTATTCAAGGATACTTATGTATAACATTGTTGTTGTATGCATAACACTAAAGCATTTCGATTATCATTTAAAACTATGTAGTACTTACTATAAGATAAAATTATTTATTGTATATTGTTACATTTAAAACATTTGTAGTTACAATTAGTTTTGGCAAGCGTATGCAATTATTGTTAAACTTTGTGATTTAGCACATATGTATGTACATTTATTCATATATCTATATGCATATGGACCTAACCACGACTGTATCAATTGATCAATAAGTCGCGCAGTTTTTGGTGTACGTGCTGATCTTATACGTCCTTTGTCTCTTGATTGAAGGATTTTCAAAAAAAAAACTATCAGCATAATTTTAGATTTTAATTCATAGCTACACGCCAGCACATTATTTCTAGAATTCTGAATTTTAATGAGTTTGTTCTGCCCGTTCATTAAATTATTTCTTTCCTTTAAGTAATACGCCACCTCCTCGCAATTAGCAATGACTTATTGATGCAATATTGACAAGTATGGTTTTGAAATTGTAATGATTACTAGAAAAATTTAAGACCTACATTCTCAGTCTAGAAGCGAGTAAAATGAAAATTCCTTACATAGCGTAATATATTGAGACTATAGAAATGAGTTCTCTACATACTTAAGCAAATATTTTTCGAAACTTAAGTGACATTTTTAATTAAAGCCTAACTTAAACGAGATATTCACCCCCCTCCCCGTTGGAAGGCGGTCCACATTGATCAGTGCGCTTTATTCGTTATGCTATTGTTCGTCGCCGAAGATGTGGTCTTGCGCTAGGCACAAGAGCAATATTTCTTTACAAAGCTGTCCGATATGCAATGCGAATCTTTGTAATACGAATCCAGACGACTTATTTCACCTGTAATATGCATAGCCTCGGTCTCCGGATTGTAGCGCAGTGTTACCTCAAAATCGGCACTATTCGGTTTTGTAACGAAGTGTAAACGATACACATCCAATGCAGTGCCGTTTGCATCTTTCGGTCTGAAAGCCTCATATGAGCGGTGCGCACTTACGACATTGTGGAGCTGCAAAGCGCGACATTGAGACGCGACTGTGCCATTCCGAAAGTTACGCACCAATTCATTTATGTAGTTAACCGTTGAATTGCCCAATTTTTGTATAATATTCGAGTTTTTATGCACCTTATTGTAGGGTATACAGGTGCACCAGTGTTCATCGATGGCTGCATCGTTACAAGAACGATCCAAAGGCACTGGTTCTAAAAGCGTTTGGCAATTCGGGCAGCCTTCAGCTGGAGTTAGAAACTTGGCTTTATCTTCAACACGCTCGGACATGCCAAGGAAATGCTTGAGGGTCATATGCAGATCATACGGTGTGGTTAGGCGATTCTTATTCACACTTAAAGCATTTACAAAGCTTGGGTACCTTTGCTTCAGATACTGTGGCAACCAAAGAAAGATGAATGGCAAACGTTCCTCCATATGACCAGATGCGGTTGTGCGTGCAGGTCCAAAGCGTAAACCGTGATCGCTGAAGAATACAACAATCATGTGTTCGAGTATACCTAATCTCGCTAAGCGTTCCAAGTAGTCGAGCACTACGACATCCATCGATGAACAGTCACTTAAGTTGTTGTGACTGAAAGAATTGGCCCAAAATAAACCGAATAATGGTTGGTCTTTGAAACGTGCGGCAAATTCAATGGCATAATCCAACACGAATTGTGCAGACTGCTGATAGCCGAGGCAAAAGGTGAGACCAGACTTATATGTTTTATGTAAATGATGTTCCGCAGCCAGTTGGAATGGACGTAAATAATAGTCTACAGGCGGTTTCGTAAATCCCACCTTATAGTAGTTGAATGTGCTAATATCTGCTGCATCTTCACCGTAACCTGTCACATAGCCATGCTCACGAAAGGCATTCCAAATCAAGCTGCAGTTGTCTAAGGCACCCAAAACTCTTGGAGGACATTTTGTAACTGTATTGTCTTTATTGTAGCCAGCAAGTACAGCCATAAAATTTGGGAATGTATTATCGTCTATCTAATGAAAGAAATATAATTGCAAATATACAGCTCTAAATATTCTTATGATACATACATGAATTTATTAACAAGTTATATACTAACGGATTTTTCAATATGAGCGCTACAAAAGTTTTTAAATAAAACGGTCCGGTTTGAGATATCAATGAAAATCTTTATTCGACTTCTTTTGCATAGCTACCATGGGCACGCTTGTAGAAGTCCAAACGCTGAATCGGGTTTTAAGCATAAATCCGCCGATACTGCTGCAATTTCACGTTCGATATTCGTAAGAAATTCATCAATCGTCGCTGGCTTGTTGACATAGGCCATAGACTTGACGTATGTAGCTCTACAGGAAATGGTCTAATGGCCATTTCGTGAGATAACACCTTCACCAAACTTGGTTTTCAATAAATCTATTCCGACATTCGCTGTGTGGCTTGTAGCGCCGTCGTGTTGGAACCAAATATTTTGCAAGCCCATATCATCCAATTTGGGCCAGAAATATTCGATTATCATTGAGCGGTAGCGATTCCCATTCACAGTAACGTGCCAGCCAAGATCATCTCGGAGGAACTACGGCTCAATGGCGACGCCGGCCCATAAACCGCACCAAACCGTATTTTTTTCGGGATGCAATCTTGACTCATGGAGTACACGTTGCTGCCTGAACAATAGTACACATTTTGACGAAGCCATTCAGCCAGAAATGAGCCTCATCGCTAAAAATGATTTTTCGACGAAAAAACTCTCCACAACGACGTCACAGAGATGATCAACGCTTGAGAACGACGTGTGAGAGACTGATTTGAGTCTTCCTCAATTGACGCGCTAGCGGCAGCAACATTCTCGACGCTATGACGACTATAAACTGAACTTAGTGCTCTTAAACTTGAGGCCACTGATTTCAAATTTCGGTAGTAAAATTTAATAATTTCGACTCGTTGTTGGATCGTATATCTTTCCATGATGAAATGGCAAACCTTTATGGAGAGAAATTTCAAAAAAGCGGGAAAAATATGGCGTCGTTTGCTGCTCCTATTGGTCTACTTTTGTAGCGTCCCTATTGAAAACCCATTTATAAATGTAGTCTAATTAGAAACAAATCTATTACAAAAAGCATTTCAATATAGCGTCAAAAGAAATGCTACCGCATTACGTTATGTATTTGAAGCAAACTGAGTAGTTGTACAGTAAGGGTTTGAGGATATCGACACAACTTGGGCCTTAATATCTGATACTTTCTTCTGAACACCTTAAACCCATCGGATATTAATGTTATTGCAGTAACAATTTTACTAATTCATCCTTACACATATCTCTCAATAAGACTTCTAAAAAGCTTTTTGAAAAAAATTGCTTTGTGGAAAGACTGATTAAATGGCACCGCTGAAAATTTATATATTATACTTATAATATATGCTATTATCTATTATTAATACTTATACATATGTAATAATTAGAGCAGTTTCGGTTACCTTATTGTAGCCACTTAATTCGAACCAATCATTGTCGTATAGGTACTGCGCTGTCTTCGGCATGGCTCTGATCAAATTTACACGCGATATACTATCGATACCAATCATTAGAATGCTGGGCGGTTTTGTACGGCCACGCTCAGTATCCTTCTTCTTCCAAGTTTTTAAACGCTCCCGCACTTTTTCTTTTTCATTTATTAATGGGTGGCCATTTTTATACACATTTCGCTTATTAGAATCACATTGTACTAAAATGCTTTCGATAGAAGGCGATAAAGAAACACTTTTCTTAAAAGGAACACATTTACTAAGTCTGAAAAACACAAAACAAAAACTTAAAGAAATATTTAAATAATTTTTACTAATAACAAACAAATTTTAATGACGGTTACATTTATGAATAGAGTATTTATAAATCAAATACATTTACAGTTCTAAGAGATTTTTTGCTAATTCGTTGAACTAAACTATGGCGTGAAGGACAAGCAGCTCTTTTGGAAGACTTACGGATGAGCTGAAATACAGGTATTCCTTGATTTCAACTCGTTTCGTCGCCCTAATCGTTTAAGTATATACATAAAGGGTGATCCACTTCGAAGTTGCCCACTTTTTTACAGAAAAAGCACAGAAACTTCAAATCAAATGAGGAATGTTAGCTATCATTCGAAACAAAGTTCTTTATCATTCATTTTTTGAAGATTATCTCTTTCAAATTTTGGCCACGGCTACGTAGGAGCTGGTTCATCCGTTGAGTTCAATTTTCGATCACTCGTTCGAGCATTTCAATCGGTAATACGTATGATGTTTTGCTCCAAGGCGTGATTGTCCGCATAGACTTTAGATTATACATATACTCAAGTTTAACGGCGTGATATCACACGATCTTGGTGGCCAATCGATCGGCCCAACACGTGACATTATCCGAACCGAAGTGTTCTGTCAATAAATCCATTGACTGATGTAATGTGCAGGAAGTGACGCCGTCTTGTTAAAACCAAATGTCGCCGAGATCACGTGCTTCAATTTAAAGCATTAAATATTCAGTCAATATTCAGGTTGCTCTTCATCCCAAATGCGGCAATTTGTTGGTTTACATACCCATTGAAATGGGCCTCATCGCTGGACAAAATTTGGGTCGTAAACGTCGGATCTTCTTGAAACTTTTCAAGGGCCCATAAAGCAAAGCGATGTCGCTTGCGAAGGTAGAGCGGTTTCAGTTATTACGTAAGCTGTATTTTGAACGCTTTTAATTTAAGATCTCGATGTAAAATGCGCCAATCGTTTTATAAGTCAGTCTGAATTACTGCAAACGGCGCCGAATCGACTCTCCACAGTTTCAGCTACGGCTACTATATTTTCTTCACTGCGTGCTGAACATAGTCTATTCGGTCAAATATTATTCAATAATTAATTCTGGTTTCCAAGATGGGTCGATTATGTTGACCATAAGTTGAACACTACCGCGCGAAAAACATTCTTTATAGAAGGTGAATTTTTTTAATAAAGTTGAACGATTTGTAAACGTAGTTCAGTCGGAAGTCTTACATATACATATCTCGATTAGTTTTAGGCGTTACAAACAATCGTTAGGTAAGCAAAACTATAATACAGTGTATACTATAAAAAAGGTTCTTCACTAAACTTTATAATCAAAATTTAGTATATTTTCAATATATTAAAAAACCACATTATTACAGATAATATTTATTTTGCTCTAAAATGTGTAAAAAATAAGGGAATTTAAATTTCATGGAAAACAATGCAACACTGATGTGAACACTTCGTAGCCTAATGGCCGTGACAGAAGACTGCGCTAATTTGCATAAGGGGGCTTAATTTACATTTACTTGCGCATTTAACCCATGTTAATGCAAATTTGTAATGCACATGAATTTCGTGCATTTAGCTGAATTTACTAAATTTGAGTAAGCAACACTGCTCAAAAATGGCCGATTTTTGATAGTTTTTGAGAGATGTCGCTTAAAGTCTGTCGTCTCCTTTGCGTTTACAGCAGTTTTATATTGCTAATTAAATTATGTGTAAGTATATTAACAAAAACATACTTTAATATTTTTAGATGGCAGAAAATAAACAACGCACAGTTTGCTATACATTTCTCTAATATTCTTTATTTTTTCACACACTTTTTTCGCATTACAATAAATTGTTGCTTTTAATTTCACTCTATTATCTTTGAAAATAAACGAATATTTCGTTAAATTTATATTGATCTTCCAAAAATACCAAAATTTCTATTAATAATTTCTCTTATTCATTTTTATTTCACTTTTTTTTTAATAAATAAACAAATTTCACTAAATACACAAATCTGCCGTCTGTCACCATAAAATTTCAATGCGCATTACCGTTGCTTTATGAATACCAGCTAATAAAATATAGGAATTGATGAATGAAATGAACGTACATGTACATGCATGTATTAACTAATTAACTTTAGGTGGATCTGCATAACATGGAGAGTATCGAGTGCAAATGTATTAAGAATAATTTTAAGTCTATTGAAAACAGGCAACTGCATGAAGTTCGTATGTTAAAAAAGTCCGTTGGAGATTTTCAGACAGTATGCACGTTATTGTGAAAGCGTGTGCTCTCATCTCTCTGCACTTTCAGACATGATACGTGTTTTTATATATATGACACGAGTGAGTAACTTTGAGTTAGTTTGTGTTTGCATATTGTCTGGAAAAGTAAGGTGCTTGTTTTGCTGTGGTTAAAGTGGTTTACAGAAAGTGATGGATAGTGAGGAATATAAAGAATATCGTTCCAAACTTATTGTACTAGTGCGTAAAAATAAAGTCTTATGGGATAAGACTAAAAAAGTCCGCCTCAGTTATGCGGCCAAAAGCAAAATTTGGAATACGATAGGAAAAGAGTTAGGCCAATCAGGTTAGTATGTCGTAGTATTTGTCTTTGAACATGTGCGTGTGTATGTACATGTATATTTAAACCCTGCAGGAAAGTGATTGTAGTTGTGCTGCATTTCCGTGATACAAGTTTGATGCCGTTATAAATCAGGTGTTTGTGTGAAACGAAATATAATTAAATATGTGTGCGTATCTATGAACGTTTTGTTGTTAAAAAAGCCAATACTTATGTGTGTGATGTTGTAGCCGTGACATATTGCTCGTTCTTCTTTTACGGGTACTATATTTAGCATTTTTCATGTTACCAGAAAAACATACATAAATATGTACATATGTACAACGTGCGTTCCAAAGTAAAAAGGAATCTAGCGCCCCCTGGTGGCACCCTCTATATGTCGACTAGTGCGTTAGAATCTGCTAGCTTTATCGATTGTCCAGTGAGAATTTCATGACATTTCATTGATTGGAAGTGAAGTTATTGCGTTTTAAGTGTCAGTATGTTTGTGTTAACGGTGCGAAAATGAGCCTCTAACAAGGAGCCAACATTAAATTTTGTTTTAAAATTAGTGAAACTTTTACAGAAACGTTTCTATTGATGAAACAAGTTTATGGCGATGATTGCCTATCCCGTAGCAGAGAGTACGAGTGGTTTCAACGCTTTCAAACTGGTCGTGAGGACATAAATTACGATCATCATAGGGGCCAATCAAAAATCAGCCGAAATCATCATTGAAATTCATGGAAATGGATTTTAACATCTCCAAAACATCGATTTATCGCATTTTGCCCAAACATTTGGGCTTACGAAAGGTTTCTGCACAGTTTGTTCCGCACAAATGGACTGACGGCCAAAAATTGCTGAGAATCCAATATTCGAAGGACGATTATTTGACCAAAAATTACATTAAAACCATTAATCACTCCCCGTATTCACCTGATATGGCACTATGCCAATTGCCCATGAAAGGAAGGGGCCATTCAAAAGGCTTGTACTGGCACACTGGCGGCCATACCGGCCAACGGGTTAAAACACTGCACTCTGTATAAAAAAACATACACATTTTTCTCTCTCCACAAGTGAATATCTATAAATTCTAAAATCAGACAAAAAAAAACGATGACGGATATCAATGTACTTGAATTATCGTTTGGAAATAATATGATGAACATAAAATCCATGGTATTTCCGTTGCTTACTAATAATAAGCTAATGTATGGAAGTATATAATTTATTTATTCATATATTTATCAAATCATACATGAATGAAATGTAGATGTAAATCTTTGGGTTCTTCATGCAATGGTGAAAATTGTTGTCATACAAAATATGCAAATAGATTTGGAATGCATACAACTACAAAGAACACAAAAAAATCCTCTCTGAGTTTGCTCTTTCTCTCTTTTAGAGATATGCATTGTATATGTAGACATGAATAAAAACAGTATGTTAACTGCTAAGGGCCAACAGATATAACTTACCTCGCTCTGCGTGAGATTACAGTCTGAAATAACGAAGCGAAGAAAAGAAATGCTTTGCTTTCAGAGTTGCTCTGTAATAAACCGGCAACTGTTCATTGGCAAAGCGTAAAATATGGCGAGAGAAAATATAACATGTTGCCCAACTTTGCTTGGCTTCGCGCCGAAAACTATTTATGTGAACGTACAACTATTTACATGAACGCCTACAAATGACTGACGCAAATCGATGCAAAAGAACTGTGAATTGACCATTAGATATTGCAATTGTAAAAAACTAGAAACGATCGACACAATGTGTATGTGTGTGCGCACTTATTTTAGTGAGAACGAATTTATGTAGCGAAGGAGAGCCAAAGTACATCCACGTGCATAAATATATACGCTTTGCGCCTGCAACCTTACATACCATATATACAAACATATACTGATAAAACAGAAATACTGGGAAAGCTGTTTTACTCTGAGCAAGTTAAACCAGAGAACTTAAAAAATTTCTCTGGTTAAACCACATATTGTTTGTAGCATTTTATCTTGTACGGAGTTCATATCGAATACTAAATGCTATTGCAAATACCGCTGTTCTAATAAGATTTCATGAAACCTATGAAAGTATGTATAGCGGGTGATTCAAGTAGAAGTACTTTTTTCAATAGCATTTTTGACAGATCACGCTAGAGTCGAACAAATTTATAAATCATTCAACTTTATTAATAAATTCATATTTTGTAAGGTATTATGCTCAGCATAATTGGTTTACCAAAGCGCCCAATACACTATACCAGCATGCTGGCGCAATCACTTGATGACAGCGTGTTATTCGCAAAACCATCACTTACTTGATATCCAGCATTATTGGATAATATTCGACCAAATAGATCGCGTTCAGCTTGCAGTGAAGTAAATATAGCAGCTGTAGCTGAGAGTGTACACGAAGATCGTGGAGGGTCGATTCGGCGCAGCACTCGGACTAACGTATGTAACGACTTGGCGCATTTTACGTCGAGGTCTTAAATTGAAAGCGTGCACAATACATTTTGTCTAAAAACTGCAGCCGCTCGTCCTTTCCAAGCGACATCGCTTCACTCTATGGGCTCTTGAAAAGTTCCAAGAAGATCCGAAGTGTTCGAGCCAAATATTTTTAACCGATGGGGCATATTTCCGGCTCAATGGATATATAAACAAATATAATTGCCGCATTTGAGGCGAAAAACAATTTGAAGATATTCAAGAGCTCATTTTTCATTCTGAAAAAAAAAAAACGGTTTTGTTGGTTGTGGACTGATGGAATTTTTTCAAAAATGATGCCCGTGAGAACGTAACCCTTAATAGCGACCATTATCGCGCCATTACAACCGGTTTGGTTTCAATTAGATTGCGCTACTTTACTCATCGCATTCTTCAATCAAAAATTTGTTGAGAGAACACTTGAGTGCGCAGATAATTTCAAGTTTTGGGCCTGACGATTGGCCACCAAGATCGTGTGGTAATACATCGTTAGAGTTTTTCCTCTGAGGTATGTAAACTCTAAAATCATCACACTTCGATTGCGACCTTGGAGCGAAACGTCGAGTCATTCGTCGTTAGAAATTCTCGAACGAGTCATCCAAAAGTAGATTCAATGGATGGACCATCTGAGTCGCAGCCGCAGCCAACATTTGAAGAGATATTCCTCACAAAATAAATGACAAAAAATGTTCTTTAGAATGGTAATAAACATTCCCCGTCATATTTGAAGTTTCTTTGTTTTTTCCCTAAAAAAGTAGGGAACCTCGAAAGGGATCACCCTTTATTGCTTAAAATTTTTATATGTGCTTTTATTTTTTTTTTTTTTTTTACGGTCTATGAGCGATACTCCCCGCCTTCTGCAGACATGAAACCTTACCTAACCCTAAACTCAGATGAAAAACTGTCGTTACAATTTTTGTAATGAAATCAAAACTATACATAAAGTTAAATTATGTCTTCAAATACCATTTCGACTGCTCAAATATTTTTTATCGGCTCTTCCATCTGTCTGTGGTATATTTGCATCTAAAATAGTGTCCAAGTGTAATATGATTAACAAAATAAGTTACATTAAGATATAAAAATAATGACTTTTTAATGAAATGTATTTTTTATTATTATAATTCTGGCAGGAGAGATGGTACGTAAAAATTGGCAGTGTTTGCGTGATCAATATCGTAGAGACGTGAAGAAACAAATGGTAGACGGGATTGCATCTTCCTGGATATTTTTCGACGAAATGACTTTCATTCGGAAATTTTTACATATTCGGAATTTCGATGGAAGCCTAGATTCAGAAGATTCCGAAATTATAAACAAAAGTGGTGGCTCAAAAAAGAAGAAAACATGCAGGAGATCATATTCGAGGATCATTCCAACAACAGACAATTTTATGACCCAGATTTTTCCTACAGGTAACTATATATAAGTCGATAAATTTGAGCTTATCTTATGTAATTAAAGAACTTTACAGCAACTAATCATGTAAACTCAGAGTGCCAGAAACAACAAGAACAGCAACAAAGTGATGATTCGCCTACGAAAGTAAATTCGACAACCCGTCTTCATAGACCAATTAAAACGGACGTGGACAATGAATCTGTTGAGACAATAATAAACAATGCTCCTATGGAGGTACATACGTACAGCGTTTACTATCAATTTTATACATATTATTTTTAATTATAAATATTTTGTACTATTATGTACAACACTTTTAGCTCCTTGACATTTTTTAAGTTCATTTATATAATATTTTATGTTATTTTAAATTTTAGCCACCAAATGCAACTGTAAATGAACTCTTAGAGGAAAGAGCACAAATTCCAAAAAATACTGAAAGGACACATTCACAGTTGAGGAATCGTACAGGTATTCGTCTTATTCATTTTAATAATTATTTTTTAGCTAACCTACTTTTTTCAATTTTGTATTTACTAAAGAATTCACACCTAACAAACAATCAAAACGAAACCCGCCTGTGAGTAATATTTACGAAATTCCGAGAAGCATTGAAATACCAGTTATTGAAATTAAAGACGAAGTCGAAATTTTAGTAGCGGAAAACGACACAGTTGCCGGCGCGACTGTTGCTTCGGAGAGCTCCACAAATATAATGGAAACAAACTGTTCGATAAATGAAAAAAATTCAGCCGAATTTAGTAGAAATTCAAGTAAACATATAGAAATAGAAAAAGAACCGACTGATAAGGAGGATGACGATTATCATTTTGTGATTAGTCTCTTGCCAACATTGCGACGCATTTCTTGTGATCGAAAACTAAAAACGCGTATGGAAATAATGAAAGTTGTAATGGAGGCGGCACAAAGTAATGGCACATAAATAATAAGTATTATACATATGTTGTTATACATATGTACACTAACTATTAGTTAGATAGATATAGTTATAATGAGGTATTGCACTAACTATTATTATACCCTAAACAGCGTATATTAAGTTTTCCACGTAGTTTGTAACCTTATAAAGTTACAGAGTCTGTTCGGCTGAGTGTATATAAATGAACTAGTTCCTCAGATTTATCGATATGAGTTTTTGCACATTTGCTTTTCCCGCGAAGAACGTGCTTATTTTTAATTATTTTCCAGAACCGCCGATATGGTATTACTATAGCTATAGCTGCCATAAAATCAAGTTCTCATATGGAAAACTTTTTATTATAGCATATAACTTACATACATATACATATTATGCATATAGTTGCTAAGAAATGTAACTGTAAAGAGTATTATATTTTCGGTGTAGCTTACTAAATTTGTTAATAATTATTATTAAATACGTTTAGATAGATAGTTAGTCAAATAATAATATTCTGTCAAACTCGAAACGGGCTGAATTTAGAGAGTTCTTAGTTCCCGCAAATGAAGAAAATATAATTATTATCAAATCAAAGAAGGTAATGTGATTCAATAATGAATTATGACTGATGAAATTGTATTTAAGTGCAGCACTACAACGCAAAATACTATTGAGTGCTGGAATAACCAACCATCGTTGCAATTTCTATATTTTTTCGTACTACTTATACTTCTTAAATTAAGTTATAACCGCTCATAGGCAACTGAGTTGCAGATAGCCATTCCTTGTTATAACTTAGCAAAGTTTTATGATCAAATACTTTTTTAGTTTGAAAACAGTGTATAACTTAAAAAAATATACTATATGTGAATTTTTAACTATTATCTATATATGTTTTGAATTAAGTATTTGATCTCCAAACAAATTTTTTTTTAATAAAAATAAATTTGTATGCCTTCGTAACATGTTACTACAAAATATATTATTGTTTTCTTCACCTAACAATTTTTTAACGGGCGATCCAGTAGATCTTACTTTCTCAATCGCCTGTTTTTAACAGACCGTGTGTGAGTCGTGTCAAGTTGTCATGTTATTTTTGTTCTGTATTGATTGGCATTTCATCATGGAAAAATTTACGCCAAATTGTTCAACTTTATTACGAAAATTCATCTTGAAACCCAGCATTTATTATTAGATAATATTCGACCAGTATACGAAGACCGTGGAGAGTCGATTCGGCGCCGTTTGCAGAAACTCGGACTGACTTATGCAATGATTCGGCGTAATTTACGATGAGATTTTAATTTAAAAATGTGCAAAGTGCGGCCTGAGCAAGAAGTGAAGCCGCTTGACCTTTCCAGGGGACATCGCTTCGCTCTATGGGCTCTTGAAAAGTTCCAAGAAAATCCGACGTTTTCAAGCCATATTTTGTCTAGCAATTATACCCATTTCGTTTCGACGACATTGAGCTGTCATTTCATTTAGTAAACACAACGGTTTAGTATGACATGTGAACCGGTGAAATCATCGGACCACATTTCTTCAAAAATGATACCGCTGAGAACGTAATGGTCAATGGCAACCGTTATCGTCCCATGGTAACTAACTATTTTATGCCTGAAATTAAAACTCGTGACCTCATTTGATTTCAATAAGACGGCGTCACTTTCCACACATAGCATCAAACAATGGATTTATTGAGAGAACACTTGGGTGAGTAGAAAATTCCACGTTTTGGGCCGGTTAATTGGACACCAAGATAGTGTGATATCACACCGTTCGAATTTTTCTGTGGGTATATGTAAAGTATATGCGGACAATCTCGCTTCGGTTCAGGCCTTGGAGCAAAACATCACGGTGTAATTCCCCAGATACCAGTTGAAATGCTCGAAAGAGTCATCGAAAATTGAACTCAACGGATGGATAACATGAGACGCAACAACAATATTTGAAAAAGATAATCCGCAAAAAATAAATGGCAATAATATTTTTTCGGTTGATGATAAACATTATAACATACCTACATATACAGTTTTTTCTTGTGAAACATTCACGTACATTTCGAAAACGAATGTAATTTGGTAACATAGTACACGCGTTCCTTGTCGCTCTGTAACAAAGAGTATTGCATATTATTGTATGGAAGTGGGCAACAGCAGGTTAACGAAATAGCGTTGTCTGAAAACACATGGAGGGTTCAGTCATCAATCAAGCAACAAACTTGGTATTATAATAAAATATTTTCATTTATCACAGATGGCTCAGCGGCCAATAAAGATATATACATAAAGAACTGCAAATACATTGGTTCCGGTTGTCATTGCACAACATACTCAAATGTATTATATACTGACCGATATGTGATGTTTTCCATCATTACCTTTTGTGAAATTAAATGAGAGTGTTTTCCTGAACATAATAACATATTACGCTAAGATAGAGTTCTTATCAGCGGAAAAATTAATGCTTCCCGAATAATTTGACACAACTTTATTTGATATTTCAATCACAGGGGATAAATATATGTATATAGTATATAAAACTGACAAGGTATTAGTGTAATATATAGTATGTGTACTCACCTATAGTCACAATCTGCTTTCGCTCCAGTCCCATTGCGCATTATCGACTGGTAACAGCAATGGATACGCCCAGATTTACTGAACGATTTGATTTCGCTCTCTTCAATTCGCAGCACATACTCTCGTGAAGTAGCATTGAAGGCGACGGACGTGAGCGGCTTTTTGTTCGAGCAGGGTTTGTATTTCTCACGTTTGAAGTGTTGCATTATGTCCGGCGCATGCACGTCTACGTCCGGTATTCGACAGGATTCACTCCAAACAAGATAACCTGTGGGTGGTCGCATTATTTTATATGTGTCATTAGAGAAGGAATTTTGAGAAGTAGAATCATTGAATGACTCTACGCTGTCTGTTGTTTGGTCAATGGTTGATGTCTCAACCAATTCAAAAGTCGACGAAACGGTCGCTGAGAAGGGTAGCTCAGTGTCGGCCGGTGGTGTCAGTAAAGGCCTTGCAGCAACACTTTTGTTAAATCGCGACGTGCTGGTGCGATTTAGTATCGAGTTGGTGGAGACTACTTATGCAGATTTTGGTTTTTTTTTTTCACATTCATATGGTGCACATACATTTATGGACGTTTGTATAATTAGACGGTGGACGTAGCACGGTACATTACAGCAAGCATTATTACAACAAATTGATACAAGCAATTTTGCAAAAAAATTTATTGTGCGAGCAAAATCCAGAATTTTGAATTTTCGATTTTTGTTTTTTTGTTGCAATTGCGCCAAAAGCATGCAAATTAAGAAAGAACATAACACAAAAGTAATGAATTATGACGAACAAGCAAACAAGTAAAACGACACAAAATGAAACTTACAAATAAACAGTATACAAAAACTACTCTAAAACATAATAATAAAATATAATCGTAATAAAATTATACAAAATTATTGGAAATATCATAAGAATTTTAAGATAACTTATCTTATATATACTTAATGCTAATACACCTAGCATGATGAAAATGATGATGATTGGGATTATTGCCATAATGATTTAGAATCTAAAGAAACTATTGGTTCTAAGGTCAAGGTTATCGTTTATCCTATAATCAAATAAACTGGGAAAAAGTCAAGGTAATGTAGGGAGAAGAGCACACAAAAATGCTATAGATTTTTGGTCTGTAACCCTCACCTCCTTTATGTTGAAAAGCACATCTGATAAATCTTCGGAGACAACTTATCGACTGCACAACATGCCTACATAAATGGTCGTCCAACAGAAACTGCCCAACACGAGGTGGAAGAGTCATTACATCTAAAATAGTATGAAATGGCTGCCTTTCATGATACAGAGGAAGCTTTTAATAATATAGAGTTAAGCACGATCGCAGAGTCGCTCAGACATGGCGGCGTGGGCGACATGTTGTGCAAATGCATACAATCAATGCTTATAAATAGCATTTGCATAACTGTATCTATCTAAGCAGGTATTCACAAATACAAACAAAAAATCAAAATACCTCAATTTCATTTTCCTACACTCGGTAGTACTACAATTTTCTCTGCCACACACCTAAAAATATCTAACGGTCGAGATCGATACCAAACTGAACTGAAAATTGAATATTGAATATTGAATATTGAGAAACGTATTAAAAAAGCTTACCCGTGCAAGAGAATAATGTGTAGGGACTGGGGCCTAAAACCGAATATAGTCATGTGGTTGTATACGACTATCATTAGACAAAGCTTACATATGGAACACAGGCAACACTGTAATGTAAATGGAATACAGAGGTTGGTCTGTGCAGGAGTTACCGGGTTCTTGTCCTGAAACAGCTGAAAATAAATCTAAATACAAAGATCAGACTATATGCTTCCAAGATTATATTTCACTAGTGACTTTCAGGTACGAATACCCTCCAGAAGGTTTAGTAGAATTCTATATGAAACTATAACGACGGGCCTTAAAGCAAGGACGGGAGTATACTCTAAGTATCTTGATCATGCATGATGATAGCATCTTTCAAGTGGAACTACTAGGCATAAAGAAGGTCAGTGGAGTTCTACTGAGTAACTACGAGAGGATACAGGGGGACTTATCGTTGCTATTATGGTTTTAAGCTCACTGACAGGTAAACTTCGCTGTCCATATTTTGGGTATCCTGTCATAGCAACATTTTCGGCAATGTAAAGCAGACGAGTTGGACAAGTCAGAAGCCTCCCTAGACTAAGTCCGGGGCGCAAAAAATATCGTGACCGGTAGGAACGATTAAGAGGGAACTAAACTCTCCTAGACACTCTTACCAGCTGCCATTTGACAACAGAATACGAAATTGTACTTTACGAGAGAATAATCAATTGTGTCTATTAATGGTATATTAATGTGAATATTATAATACTTATAACTGTAAGGCGAAGGACCTTCCCGTAACAATTACAAATTTATTTTGAAATATTTTCTTAGAAGTGTCAAAGGACCTGTTTTTAAAACGCTTAGTACTAAGAATCTCTGCAAAAAATGTGGCAAGTGGCAAGAATTATAGACGACAGAAATACCTAAAAATCTCATTTCCCTTCACTCCGGAACATGAGTAAAAAGTATTTCAGGCCAGCTCAGTTTCGCATCTAAAAAATACTCAATCTATAGCTAAATAGGTTCGCAGTACCAGAGGGTAGTTGATAAGATAAGCAAGACCTCCCAAAGCGGTCTAAAAACAGAGATAAAGAGATGAATAAATAGCTAATAGAAGTGCATAACAGTTTCCTAAGAAGAATAAGAAGGAAGAATTCGCAACACAAAGCTTAATGTTCCAATACTCTCGGTCAAAAACATGAAAACAACACTTATCCTTGTGCGACTGTTATAAGCCGCCAGAGATCATATCCAAGTGGTCGAGAATGTCGGCTAATATGTAGAACAGAGGGAGTTGATTGCAGGTTGTTAAGCTCAGCTCATAGACAGGTCTCACAGTAGTAAGGTCTACGAAATCGGAATAGGCTCGCAAAAATGGGCAAAGACTGTCACTATTATTTGAAGAACTTCACTTTTCTCATCACAATAACAACAATCCGATATGTTCCATTCATATCTGCTTATCTAACTCCGGCGTAATGCCTCGCTGGAAACCTCGCAAGAATTTATTTAAAAAAGAAGTAGAAACATAAATAGTAATATGTTTAACGTACTATCTGATCAAATTTGACCCGATTGGTCCATTTAAACTGACAGCACAAACCGAATGAATAAATACAGATGATTTGTACAACCCTTTTTACATACTTTACTTTATTACCAACCCAAGTATTTGGGTGGCACAAGTTATACGGTGAAGGTCATGAAGTAATGTTTTGAATATGAAGTATACCAAAAAACCTAAATGTCTTGCAAAACGACGTCGAGTAAAGGTCGCAAGGGGGATGTTGACAAGATACGCATCGACACTATGTACATTCATCAAACGCATCGTTATTGGTGACGAGGCGTAGGTTTATCAATATAAGGTTGAAACTGTTCAACAATTCTTATGGGACCCACAAAAGCGAGTCGAAAACGAAAAACCAAAATTTGATATTGATTTGACAGACGACCATCCCAGCCATGTAAAAACCATAACAAATGTATAAAAACTTTCATTAAGCATTGGCAAAGTAGTTTTAGCTTATACGTAGGATGCAGTTATCAGTCCGGATCAAATTTGATGAGATGGTAAATATGACTTCGTTAAAAGCTAATGTCTCTTTTGATTCAGTTAATCGTTTTAACTACAGAGATTATTGGAACTAGCAAGAATGTTAACTTTAATGCAATTGGCTTCACTAGTGTTACAACATTTAGGCACTTACACATTTTTTCAAAAAATTTGTAAAAAAAATTTACGATAAAAATTCTTATTATTTTCAAGTGGTTTTAAAATGTGCTTAAAATAAATATATTAATAGAAAAAAAGTAATATGCATGCACTACATGAAAAAACCATTAAAATAAAATGTCAACCTATACTTATACATACATCTGCTCTAAAAATACCTGCGGCGCTGCGTCTATCCAAATAATCAATATTTAAAAATACACCTCGGCGTATACGTACCCTTCATGCCAGGCACATGTGAGTAGTGCAGGACGGGAATGCGCTCATCCGCATAATCATTTCCGCGCATCGAACTACTCAAGTAAACAATGAATATCACAAAAGCGAGTAGGAGCAGCAGCTGCTTCCGGCGTAGTACCCGATATGACCAATTGAAATATTTGGCTGATGGACTGCCTGCCTTGCCAGTGTTCGTGAGCTGTTGCATTGACTTTTGCCAACAAGAGGACACCGCATTTTTCATTAGCTGCTGCCCGGCACATGATAGTACCTCTGTCTGTACGATTGTCTTAGACTTTCCCAGCGATCTAGTGGTATCGGCTGTGAGATATTAAAAATCAGTTTTATAAGTTTTAAATCGCTCAGAAATTTACCTTGCTGTGTGGCCGTTATTGGCGTTGAATCCATATTTGTGTTGTTACGTGTTTTCGTACCATTTCCAAGCAAATGCTCCTTATCCTCATCAGTGGAGTTAGTTGTGCTCGGTGATATGCTCGCCATAGTTAATAGTTTGGGTTGCCGCCCAGAGGGGGTAGTGCATATTCTTTAACGTTCGAATACCCTAAATAAAGATTAATTATTTTGTGATTAGTTATTTATCTAAAATGGTGGAACTGTTGTAACTATGGGAAGAGAAAACTGTTAAAATTTCTAGAAAACTTCCTATCTGTGGCCACCACATGGATTAGGATGGGAAACACGGCTTTAAACAACTTCTAAAAGATTTTTTGATTACCGTTAACTTGGACTACTTTGGAGAGGTGTATTGAGGGTGCAGAGAAATTACATACTTATTTGTTTGCTCTGTTCTGGACTGATATTTTCAGACAGATCTAAAATTTCGACACTTTTTAAAAAAAGACCATCACTAGAATTGAATCCAAATGTTTCGAAGTTATACCTAACCTAAAAAAATGCTATTTATTTCACTGTTGGATAATTTTCTAAGTGCGCCATTTTTAAACACGTTTTTCCCGAAACTGTTTTTTTGAAGTCAGTTGGCCCGATTTCTAGAGTACTACTCAACCGATCTTCATGAAATTTTACACATGTTTTTGAGATACAATTTTTAAAGGCTTGGATGACATATTTTGTAATTGCGGATTGAATCAATGTTCAATGATTAAGATGATTTATAATATGATAAAGAAGTTTTTAATAGTGGCTGTCCAAGTGAACATATTTCTAACCTGAAACAGTTTTTTCATAACATTTAGACTAGAAGAGGACGTTAAGTAATATTAATCGGGAAGGACCTCGTTCGACACCAAACGAGGTTTCAGACAAGGGGACTCGCTATCACATGTATTCTTCAATGTACCGAGCAGTTACATTCTTCTATAAGAGTGAACAGCCGTTGGCGTACGCCGATGATATTGATATCATTGGCCTCACCAACAGCGCCGTTTGTTTTGTTTTCTCCAGACTGGATAAAGAAGCGAAGCAATTAGTTCTGGTAACGAACACGACAAGACGAAATATCTCCTGTTGGCAGTCATAACTTTGAAGTTGTAAAAAATTTCGTCTTGGCATTAACACCAACAGCAATCTTGGTGTTAACGAAATTCAACGCAGAATAACTCTTGCCAACAGGTGCTACTTCCGACTGAGTAGGCAATTGAGAAGTAAAGTCCGCTCTCGACAAACAAAGTCTAAACTCTACAACTCACTCATTATCCCTGTCCTACTTTATTGTGCAGAGGCATGGACGATGACAACATCTGATGAGTACGACATGAGTTTTCGAGGGAAAGGTTCTGCAGAAGATTTGTGGTTCTTATGTAGTAGCAACGGTGAATACCGCAGTAGATGGAGCTATTAGCTGTAAGAGATATACGACGACATTGATTTAGTTGAGCGAATCAAATGACAGCGGCAAAGCTGGCTAGGTCATGTCATCCGAATGGATAAAAACACGCCAGCTTTGAGAGTATTCGACGCAGTACCCGATTGGGGAAGCCGAGGAAGAAGAAGACCTGCACTCCGTTGGAAAACCGAGGTGGAGAAGGAGGAGGAAATATTACATTTCTAACCCACTAATGGAATGAGAGAAATTAGAGGCATGTTGATTGTATTTACCTCTGTGGTATAAACTCAAGTCAAGTCAAACTTTTTCCCATTCAGAAATAGTGTAACAAGCTTAGGGGTCAGAGCTGTTATAAAATAGTTATATTCCTTCGAATATTATCTTGCCTTTTTCGGTACCGCTATACGCACCTATGTCGAAACATGTGGCTGTAAATGACTTCATAGCACATTTTGCAATCGCATTGGCCTTTATTCTTGTTACTACATGACATTACATCAACAATTAAAAAACCTTTAAACCTATCGTATTGTGCAGTTGTGTTAAACCTGAACATAATCTGTTGACCCTGAAATTTATCTCTAAGATTTATGTTTGGTTGTTTTTTTTTTTCTTTCCATAATGATGTTTTTTATGATCTTCTGCATGAAACTGCAGCTTAATGACTATTGTTAAATTATCAGCTTTTTTGTAACTATGAATACATACAATATGTTACAGAGTTGTGTATATGTTGCGGCTGGCATAACAGTTAGATACGTCTTTTTCGTGCAATAAAAATATTTATTCCAACAAAACAATTAATTGTTGTGTATGGCTCGCATCACGCTAACTGCTAATTAGTATTAAAAATATTTTTTAACAAGCAAATTTATATAAATGTGGATGTGCAGCCGATAGTTCTTCATATACATAAATATATATTATATATACACGAATGCAATTTAACAATTTTAAATTCACTAAAATAAATAAATAAAGGAAGGTAACGTTCACAATGAGCAAATGTCGTTTTAGGATGTGAATATATCTTTTGATAAATGGGTAGAACGTGACTCAATCGATGTCAGTGGGAAATTGCAAGATTTAATATTATAGTTTTGGTCAACCAACGGTGTAAAAAACCCAAAGAAATTTAATTTTACGTCCGATATGGTACTAGGTAGCTTTATAGCTGCAGGTGTCAAACTTGGAAAATAGACGTGGCCCTCTTTTGTGTGAAATCCAGTGTCTCGAGTCTTGATGAACCGATTTCAAACAAATGTGGCACATGAAATTATTTTAACATTCCTATGTCATATAACACCATTTTAAATTGCTCTTGATTATTTCACTTTATCTTATACAAATGAATAAGCAATTAATATACCATATGCCCAAGAATTTTCCAAACCGAAAAGAACTGTTCAAGCCCCTAGGTACCGAATATGTGAACCCCAGTACTTATAGTTGACTTTTTACCGAAAATACCGGTCAATGTATGGGATATGCAATTGAAATTCAGGGATAATCCTTTCTTGACAATAGTATATCTGTGTGCCAAAAATGTGTCGAATTGTGTCAATTAGCCCCAATACCTAATAAAAAAAAACATTTTCGAATATTGGGGTGATTTTATACTGTATAGATAGGTCAATGAAAATTTCAGAGGATGTTTTATTCCTAACACTGTATCTTTGTGCCTAAAATAGTTAAAATTGGGTTAAAACTTGATCTAGCCCTCATATAATTATTATTATTATATTATATTATTTTCGAACATGCAGATAACTTGATTCTATTGGATTGGTAATTGTAAGTAAGGTACCTTAAAGAAAACCAGGGATACTTTTTTTGGCATGTGGCGTGATAATAGTTAGTAGATAAAATCGGGTCCCCAACTTTCATAAATCATTAATGTAGATTTTCGTTTTTCTAACAAACCTTAGGCCGAGTTTGTCAGTCAATGTATGAGTTATATAGAACATATCTACTATATATATAAAATTGCTTGGATTCCGATTATCTAGTTGAAGTTTTACACCTTCTGGTATTTCCTTGGCTTATTGCTGCAAATTACAAAAGCATCTGCTGCATCCGAACTTAGCGCTTCTTGCTTACTTGTGTATATTATACTTTTGGTAATTACGTTATATGTGGTCCCTAAAATTCTTAGGACGATGATTTGACCAAAAATCACATTTTAACCATTAACCACACCCGGTATTCATCTGATATGGCGGCTATACCATCAACGAGCTAAAACACTCGTTCCACATGCTTTTGGACCGTTCACAAAGCTGTATTGAAGCAGAAGGAGCCTATTTTGAATAAAATCAATTGATTTTACCGAAAAAAACCATTTGTTCTGTTTTTTTTTTTTTTTTTTTTTTTTTTGGTTAATCCTGTTTACTTTGGAACGCACCTTGTACTTTTAGTAATTTTCAAGGTATACGTTATGTAAGTGGTGGGGTTATTATTATCCGTTTTTACACACTATCATGCTATATAAAAATGTTTTAGAGGATTGCATACAGCTGTTTATTGACGAAAACTATATTTGTATATATCTATAGTATAACAAGTAAGAAAGGGGTAAGTTCAGATGTAATCAATATTTTATACTTTTACAAATTGCTAGAAGAAAATTAAACATTTAACTAGAGAAAGTATCGCCGTGATTTCATTCATTTAAGGTTCGAGGATATACCGTTATTAGAAAAATATTATTTCTGAATTTAGTTAAGATTTTCTTACATATTTGCCAATAGATGCGGTATAAAGTCAATCCGAAGTTCGAAAATATTTATGTTCGACATATGGGAACTTTTGTCAAGGATCATACATTTTTTACTTAAGTTATCGCTTGCACGGGCATACAAACATAGGGACGGCATAGGCAGTCACTCGGAATTCAACTCATCACGTCATCTTGATCATTTATATGGTATGTAGATATTACCCATATCTATTTTGATTAGTTTTAGGTGCTACAATCAACCTTTAGATAAAGAAAACTATTATATTCTGTAGCAACATGTTGCAAGAGTATGAGAATGTGGGAATGCCAGCAGATGCATCAAAACCCATGGAAAATAAATACATACAGACATATAAAAATCTATACAGGTCACGTTATGTATCAATCAAGGCATTTTTCACGCGCTAAAGGGACTATTCATCAACATAATTGATATCGATTTCCATCGAATCTTCAGTTTGTATGAAAAACAAGAAAAAAACATTAACTTCGGCTGCACCGAAGCTATTATACCTTTCACAGTTGCATTTCTTTTAGTAAATATCTGACCAGTTTGTATGGAAGCTATAGGCTTAGTAATCCGATCTCAACAACTTTTTCGAAAATTACCTTAAGCAGTAATCCATGTCAAATTTCGTGATCGTTCGATCTTTCGGTTTTTATGGCAACTATATGCTATGGTTAACGGATCTGAACAATTTCTGCAGAGATTGCATTGTTGCTTCAGAAAATAACCTGTGCCAACTTTTGTGAAAATACATTGTGAAATGTAAAAGTTTTCCATACAAGAACTTGATTCCGATTGTGCAGTTTGTATGGCAGCTATATTTGTTTTAGTGGTCCGATATCGTCCGTTTCGACAAATGAGCAGCGTCTTGGAGAGAAAATGATTTTTACAAAATTTCAATACGATATCTCGAAAGGGTCTAGTTCGTATATATACAGACAGACGGACATGGCTAAATCGACTCAGCTCAAATTACTGATCATTTATATGTATATATACTATACTTTATACAGTCTTCCACGCTTCCTTCTGGGCATTATAAACTTCGTTATATTAATCAATTTATTTTTTTCAAGAATTTTTAATTGGAAACCTTTTGTATTGACAAATGTTGAAAAGTTATGAAGACATTGGATTCACCAATAAATATGTATGTATGTGCACACATATGTTTACCGAACTGAATGAGGAATTGTGGGTTTTCTCACTTTATTAGCTTTTCGTTATTAAGCCGCATTCTTATTTGCGATCCAGAGTCCTGGTCTCCTTATGATAATAATATATTGCTGGTAATACAAACTTAGCTATATAGCTTTTCTAGATAGTTAGATGGATCTTTTATCACGCCTGCGCTTGACGCGAATTTTAACAGACTTTGCAGCCTCACTATCGATATCTCCGTCAGTTTACCATACCGAGGGACCCCAAATGTTTACAGCGTATTCTTGACAATGCGGGACAAGTGCATAAGAGATGCTCCATTGTTTCCCTGGTGCTTTCGACGACCATTTTTGCTATGCTTACTTTGAATCTTCTTTCTCATATAATAAATTAAGAACCATATTTTAACATCAAAAAGCTTTTAATAGAATTCATCATTCATTTGAACATCGAAATTTAATGAAACGATACAAATTATCTCTTTGACCCAATAAATTGCTAAATAAGCGCGATAATACTATATAAGCTACACATAGGCACATAAAGTTATATACCAGTGTTCTGTAATTAGGTAAATAAGTCTGTAACGCATTTGATAAAAACTGCGTAAAAACAAATATAATATATATGATTGAACAGTTGTGTGTGTATATATTTTACATTGTGGCGATGAGGAATTGCCTTCAAACACCATAATTGCACACAATAGCTTTACAATAACAGATCTACGAAGGCACGGGTAGACGTTGCGCTCTTCAATGAAATCTAAAATAGCATAAAAACATTCCTGCATCGCAGATATGCACTATATGTACATAATATGTGCATAATTATATGTACATTAGGGTGTCCCTTATTTCTCAAGCTGATGTTTTTCTTACAAACGTGCCTTGAAGGTTCAGATTTTGTGTTAAAAATAAGATCCAACGTAAACAAACAGTGCTTAAATTTACTTTTGACTGATTTAATGCAAAATATCAAAAAATGTCAGGACTTTTTAGTCCCGTTATAGAAGGCGTCCGTTTATATGAGCTGTCGGTAATGGCGATTTTCTCTGTATATGCACGCAGAAGATGTTTTCGTATACATATCTAACGTTATGCTTCAATGACATAGATTTCTGCACACAGTTTCTATCCTACAACTGTATGGACTTTAAAGCAGAGACCACACAACTTAAAGACTTTGACTTTTATTATAAACATTTTGTATTGTAATTGGTGTATATTGTATGATTACTTCAAGAAAAATAAGAACGACCCAGTTTAGAACTTAGGAGATACGTAGGTTGCCTTTTATATTGGTTGTCAAAAAAGTCTTGCGGTATTTTCGCTAGTTGGCGCTGAGAGCGTGTAGTTCTAGTCGCATCGGATCATGCTATACCTTTTTGGAAAGCTCATTTCACGCGCTAACACGTGTTTGATTGATTGTCGTTTCTTTTAAGTCGTTTGTGAGTTATGGCGTCGCAAACATGGAATAAAAAGAAAATACGGCATATTTTACAGCACTACTACGATAAAGGCAAAAATGCATCTCAAGCCGCCAATAAAATTTGTGCAGTTTATGAACCCGACCCAGTTTCCATTTAGACCGCACAACGATGGTTTCAACGTTTTCGTTCTGGTGTAGAAGTGGTCGAAGATGCGTCACGCTCCGGAAGGCCTGTCGTCGAAAATTGCGATAAAATCGCTGAATTGGTCGAAAGAGACCGGCATAGTAGCAGCCGTAATATCGGCCAAGAGCTGGGCATAAGTCATCAAAAAAATGTTATGAACAATTGAAAATTCAATAAAAAAATACGGCAAGACTTTTTTGACAACCTAATAATTCGGAATTAGAGGACAAAAACGAAAATCGCTTTCTTGCGAACCATTAAGATCTATACACTTTTGAATGCGTTGTATCTTATTTTCGAAGAACTTTTGCCATTCAAATTAAGACATATCCAAAACATGCGTTCTGAACGCCTCAACCACCTTTTCATGCGACGAATAACATGGAACTCTTAGTTTATTTTTTTTGACCGGGAATAAAAAGAAGTCATTCGATGCCAAGTCAGGGCTTTACGGTGGATTACTCATTATGATCTACGACGTCGATTGGATTCACCATACTATTGATAAACACTATCGTTAAACTTGTTGAAGCTTCATCATAAAAACTTCAATCGATGAACTGTTAAATGCCATGTCGAAAGTTGTGATAAAAACAACGGCGCAAAAATGTTCGCGTTTTAACTCCATTTTTTGAACGAGATGACTATTTTAAGTTACTGTAAGCACCACAAATGGTGTTTGTATGTGAAAAAGTTCTGAGTATACATACCATATAAAACATCAAAAACTTCTAGTTTAAATAACTTCAACATAAAGAAGTGAGTTTCCAGATTACAACACTAGACTTGCCAAATTACCCTATATAAAAGACAACCTAATTTCGATTACGAATTAATATTTCTCTTAAATATGCAAACATCTTTAAATCTCCAAAGCTTGCTTAAATTAACAATTTATACGATTGTATTATAGGAAGGTCGATCTACTAAAGGTAACAATGAAAAATTCTAAAAAAATATTTAATTTTGTATATGAGAAATAGTTGCTGCAAAGGGCTACATTACGAGGGTAACTTAATAATAAGACTATAAGCAAAAACTTGCAAATTTGCGTTTCGCTTAAAGGGGAAAATTATTTCGGCTGCTTGATGATATTTACATAAGTACATTATAATATTTATATACGTAGTGCTTGTGCTGATCATCATTTGACTTTAATTAAAATTATATATGTACATATGTACAGATCTGTATATGTATTATATATTATTTTGTGTGTTGCTACGGAATATTTGACAATTTATTTATATACATATGTTCTTAAATAGGTTAAGAGAGAGCATATTGATTTGAAGATTCTGAGGTATCTCTCTCATTAACTCACATTTTCGGGATTGCGTAAATCGGAGATGCGGAAATAAATTTACAAAAAGTGGAATGACATCCCTAAGTACATATGTATGTATGTATGTGGGGGTTATGCTAAGCTGTAGCTCAATTCTGACAAATGATATTCACTTATTTAAGTGCATTTACGTCTTAATTTCATATCTTTGTTGGCGCTTGAGCTCTCTAATCTGAAGTGGTCGTTTTCAAACTGTGTCACTGTTTACTATATATTGCCTATATATCCCCCAATTGGTTCAAATTATTTCAAACAACTGTTAAATGCACTAAACTCTGTATAAAAACAAAATACTCTGATTTATTTGCTCACTTTTAGACATTGTTTTATATTTATAGAACTTCGAAAAAAGTATTTTTCAACAAAATTTTTTTAGGCTCATTTGTATCAGCACACTATTTTCTATTTTTATACCACTGTTTAGTAACAACCTTTTATTATTATTTTTTGATGCCAATATACATATGTACATACATCTTTCCACAAATCAAATTGAGTTATTTAATTCTTTATGTACTTAAATATGAAAAGCGCCTAAGTCCAATTAACATAAATTTTTGTTTGTACCTTTTCTTTATTTATTTATGTTTCTTATATGTATATATTTCTTTTATCTTCCATTTGTTCCCTTATTTGTGTGAGCTTTTACCCCCCCAAGCGTTTCAATATGAATTGTTGCTGTTTGTTTTGCTTTTTTTCTTTTTTTTACCTTCACTTTGTTATTGTGGCTTGCAAGTACACGTGCAGTGGGCAACGAAATTGCATTGTATTTTTGCTTTTATTTATTTTGCGTTAATTGTTAAGCGTTTACTTTGTTTGTTTCTCACTGAGCGCTCTAACTGCATATGTATAAACGGCGTTCCTTTCTTAGAATCTTTAATCGTCACAGCTTTTGCATAAATTGAAATTTACTATTACGAAATCATCATTAAATCATTTGCTGTATTACTCATAAAACTTTATTTATAAATTGTCTGCATATTTTTCAAACACCGCAGCTTTAATTAAAAATTAAAAAAAAAAAACATTACACTAAACACTTGTCGTTATTTGGGAAATTTATATTTTTCCTCATACATCATTTGTATTTGTAGTTTCATATACGAAGTTGTTAAGCCACGAACACTTTGAACGCCACCCGTGGCGGTATCACAGACGAGACTGAATGGCGCAAAGTGGTAATCGCCATCGGATAGCTATGACGGCAGCTGCAGTCGGCTATGCTACAGTGTCTTGGACGATTGCCGAATAATAGTCCGCTGAGAAAATTAATTATAATTACAATATATTGAATGGGATGGTATTGCGATATTTTGTATTTGAACAGCAAACGCTTGGACTTGGATAAAATGAACCTTCTATGTAGGGTTGAATGGTGAATTGCTCACTATTTCGCTGATTTATTAATACTAGTCCAGTCATTTAAGCTTAAATTAGGTAAGAATCTCGGAATTCGAGATACCCAGCTGTAAGTCTGTAAATATTGTATATTGGCTCCCTAAAAGTTGTCTCAAAACATATGGTAGGGTGTATCTACCTCATTGCGACGCCATTTCCGGTGAGCTCTCGGAAATAAGATGCGCCCGCATTGGCATGATAGCTCCTTACAGAATAATATTAAGTAAAAAAATGAGTGTTTTAATTAATTTTATTTAACAGAAAACTTGAACGAAGGAAAAACAAAACTGAAAATTGGAATTCCCAAAAATTAAAATTTCTGTAAAATTTCGCAACATTTTTTTTTTTCAAATAGTTGGAATCGAAAAAATCCTGCCGTCAAGTCTTTAAGAATTGTATCTCAAAGACCTGCGTAAAATTTCACGAAGGTCGGTTGAGTAGTTCTCGAGAAATCTTACAAACCGACTTCAAAATCACAAAGACTTGAGTGACAGTAAAAGTGGAACACAAGTGCACAACCGAAACTTATACTAGGATCAGCTTGAAAATTTAGAAACGTATTTTAGAGGTGTTATAGAATTTAATAAGATAATAAAAAATTTGATTTTTTAAAACCCGTAAACCCATGGAACCCTTTAAAAATTGAATATGTCGGCACAGAAAACGAAAATCAACAATATTTCATAATTTTTATAACATATTTGTAAAATAACTCTTCTTAAGCTTTCTGTTATTCGACCATTATAATAAATTATAAATAAAAAAATATATTTATAAATATATGTATACTTTGCATTAATCAAAATAACAATAGAAAAAAAAATGTGTATGAAAACGCAAATTAATCTACTGTGCACCTTTCCGTATACAATTACATCAACTAATTTGTTGCTTTCATAGTTTTTATTAGAAAATATTGTTTATGCACATTAACAAGTAACTACTGTATGCATTGCAAGGAAAACAAGAATTTTGAAAACAATCACATCAAAATAAAATAGTAAAAATATTTGAAACTCCCATCTGCACCATCGCTGGTTCTTCTTACGGATAAAATTACTTCGGTCAATTTCGCGGCCTCGGACAGCGTAAACATAAACACACATACACACATACATACTACATGCACATACATCAGTCTGGCATGAAAAGCCAGTAAGTAGTTAAAAAGGCTAGATAAAGGCGTAAACTAAAATATTTAATTACATATTTTGTAATTTTATAATTATTTCGCTGCATTGTAAGACTTCTTTGCCATCTTTGATTTATTTTTGAAAGCTTCGCAGGTGCAATTTTCGTAACAACAATTTGCATTCATTCGAAAATGTGTTGTTAGCTTAGCCAAGGCACGTTGTTTGACACAAATTTTATGGCAAAAAAGTTTATCATACAAGCCGTTGATTCCGATCATTCAGTTTGTACGGCAGTTACATTCTATAGTGGTCCGATATCAACGATTCCGACAAATGAGCAGATTCTTGGATAAAATCTCAGATTGATATTTCAAAAAGAAAATACAGATATAGTATATACTATACATACATATGTGTAACTTATGGTGTCTCCAAAATTTGCTTTGAGGTGTTACAAACTTCATGGCAAACTTAATATAACCTGTTCAGGATATTAAGATATCTTTGGTTGACGGTGGAAGCAAGAGGAGCGTTTAAGACATCATTAGGTCTATTGTACTGCAGTAATAGCCAACTAAGCCCCATTTCGAACGTCTGAAGCGGCGGAAGTCTGGGCAATCACAAAGAATTCTGCGAGTGTGATATTATTAACAGGAGGATTATGATAGCCCCTACATTATTTAGAAAATAATTTATTCTAATAATAGTAACGGTTTTTTCGATAGGGATGCTACAAAAGTAGACCGAAAGGGATAGCAAACGATGGCAAGTTTTTTCCGCTCTTTTGAGATTTGTCTTCAGTAGGTTTTGCCATGTCATCATAGAAAGATGATTTCAATTTATGGTCATCATAATTGTATTGTCAGTAATTGCACAGTAATGTTCCCGTGCCAGTTAGATAAAGAAGTGCCTGTAGTGTCGAGAATATTGCTGCCGCACGCACACGTCGTTCTCAAGCGTTGGGCATCTCTGTGACGTCGCTGTGACGAATTGTCTTTACCTACATCCATACATATGCACATACTTAAAAGATCAAATCGACGCAAGAACTGAAGCCGCTTGACCACCAGAATCATCGTATGTTCGTGAATTGGGCTGAGCGACAACTTAAAAATGATACGGCAACGCTAGGGCAGCTTAAAGAAATGACATTCACCGTTGCTCCAGAGCTGAGCAACTTATCCCCCTTTTTATTTCCTTCTATACCTACATACATACATTTAGTGACTCTTCCTCAAATTTCCATTGACTTTGATTCAACGGTGAATTTTCGCAAAACCCAGTAAAAAATGGTCTTTTTCAGCTGTAACTTTTTTTCCAACTTCCCCATATTTAATTTGGGCATTGGTTGAATGAAGATTCAAATCTCACCTATCCAACACTATATGGTATGACACAATGTGATTGGAAGCACTGAAGATATGCGATTGCAACGACAACTACTGACAAAATATGAAAAGACTTTTTCGGCTAATCAATATATTAAATTTCTTTATTTAAAGCAGCAGTTTTCACACTTCGGCATTTTATTTATTTGGATCTCCAAGACAAATGTTCTTTTATATTTGGAGACTTAATTTATAGGCAATTTAATTAAAATTTCATTTAAAATGAAATATAGCCACCTTCTAAAAGGAATTAAACTCCGGTTGATTCAGTTCTGCATCCTCGTTGGGTATGAAATGGATCTCACGGATCTTGAATTCATGGACGGCAAGTAATGTTAGAAACCTTAACCAGCCCAGAACATGTAAGGTCAGCTTTAAAATAATCATGACACCAATGACTTAATGCTGCAATTAATGTTATTTAATATGAGTTAATGAAAACTAGGAAATTCTACTAAATCGGTACTTTATCACAGGAACGTGAATGCTTTTTACGCCATACAAATTAATATAAATATAAATATAACTTAATTTCTATGATTCCTAAAAAACTAGCTAAGTCAACCCGGTTTAATAAACATATGTGCATATAGAAATAAGTACATATATGTCGAGTATATCCGAATATACAATACAATGTACAATACATGCAGTGGCAGTTTTACATTTATGTGGCATTCAAATCAGAAACATGCCATACTAGCCTTTCGTTATCACTCCCTAACATCCGGTACTGCGATTGTAAATAAGCGAATATTAGTGAAATAGGATTTTTTATTTGTTTCACAGTGAGCAGTAAATCATGGTTATTTAAAGAAAGGAAGCACAAAACATAATTATTATATGAAAATGAGTACAAATGTTTATGCGGAGAAATATGATTGAATTAAGAAATACCCACAGGAAAAAATATGACAGATGTCGGCAATTTTCTACTCCAGATCTAATGAAATTTCTCAGAAACAAGAAGTTCGTGGTGACCTTTATACATTTGAAGCAGACATAAGAGCGGAGTAATGAGGTGATTTTAAATTTAACATTTTCCATTATATTGGTAATATGTTATTTTCACACTCAATGGCCACCTTCTTTTAAATACATACGTATGTTCATCGAAAAAACTTTTAGAATTTTATCGAAAGGTAGGGAAAAATTAGGCATTGTATCACAATTGTCTGTCACAGCATCGTCAAACCTGATTTTTGTAATAAGCCAAAGCAGTTCGTAATAGTTCGTTTTCCTATAGGGATGTTCTCGTTTTATCGCACGCATATGCTCGTATGGATTTCAAAGAGTTTCAAACAAGCTGCTAACACCCCTTAATAATCACTAATTCGTACTACTGCTTTGGCCGTAGTGTCGATAATTTGTTTGATTTCCGTTATTATTACTTTTTCATTGTTTATGTGAATAAATACAGTAGGGGTATTCTCTTGCTCTTGCAAAACCCTTGCACGGTGCAAGAATCGCAGATTTTTTCACCTAATGCAGCGGCACAACAACAAACACATGCGGAAAAATATTTGCAAGCGCTGTAAAATATGTCAGACCAAAATACTTGTTTATTTGCGTGCAATGTCACGCAAAAATATAATTGCAACCCTATTTTTGCTGTCATTTTACTTGAATACCTTTTTTGACGCTGAATTGTTGAGGAATGTAAATTTTAACTAGATTTTATAATTTCTATTTAAATTATAAAGATTTGTTACAGTTTTTTTTTTTTTTTTTTTTTGTTTAGAATGAATGCAGAAGGTAAGCCAATTGACAATAGCCAAGCACAATAGTCATTTACAATAAATTGACCTAATCAGCCGTTCATATATCAAGAGGTTCTGCAATGGATGCTCTCGTGCCCTTGTGTATTTCGGATTCTTGCAATCTGCAATCTTACAAGACCAGAAGAATCCCCCTAGTGTGTTACGAAAAACTTCATATGACAAACTACAAATGAAAATTGTATTGTTTTTCTAATTTGACCATAAAATTACTGACAAAATAAAAAGTTAAAATTTCACCATGACAAAAAGCACAAAACTGATTAAAATAAAATGGTAAACTTTCGCACTTATTCAGATTTATAAAAATGTATCTTTCCGGCTGGTGTAAGCCACCAAAGTCATTGCTCTTTTTTAACATAGTGTGTTTTGCACATGTATACATACTTATATATGTAGCATATACAGTATGTTATGTCGTATGAAATGTTTGATGGATTGTTGGATG